AGATAGATGAAGCTTGCGCTCAGTCTATAAAGTAGGTGACTCTAGCTTTATTGTTACAGTGTATTTCAATAAAAGGAATAAAGATTCTTCTTATATTCTCAGTTTAAGACATGTGTTCGTGCTTTTACACAAGTAACACGTGCAATAAGAAAATATTAAACATGTGTCGCCTCTAAAAAACCAGACCGATGAATAGTTTTGGCAGTTATCGTTTGAAGTTTAAATATTTCACAATAACTGAGATACTTATTCAAAAATAGACTTGCAGAAAACACAAATGGCACGTTTTCTAGACTAAACACTTATATAGAAAACATTTAACCTTAATTTCATGCTATGTTCGTGCCAACAGCTTCCAACATTCAATTTTTGTGCTCACAGATCGACTAATACAGCAGCTGCAATATCAAATATTTATCTTAAGTCATTTTGCGATATCTTTAAACAACAACAAAAAAGTGTGCCAACTTGCGGTGTGAAATTAAGTAGTGGCTAAGTCCATGTCACCTTCCTGAAAGAGGACCGTCTGAGCACTGGAATATGAGACGGTTAAACAATTTTTACACTTTAATTCCAATATTAAACCTCAGCCCATTTCAATTGTAATGATGCCCAGCACAGGCCCAGAACCATCAAAATAAACATAATCCATATTCATCACCTGTAACAACAAAATAATGAGAAAAGGAACTTTAGAATATTTGAAACCCGTTTAACGAAGGCAAAATGCGATCGATGTATAAAGGAAATAAAAAAACAACGATAATGTTAACGCATTGTGATATGTTGTCACCTCTAGTGCAATCTGAAAGTGATGGTTCGTTGCTGCGCCATACATGGCAGATTTGAAGGGCGTCATGGTTTTATAAAAGAATCTTTTCATTAAAGAAGTCCGATATCAGCAATGTTCATAACATACCACACGCAAAGGAAAAACTTTAAAATATTTGGTTGCATTTTAATTAATTAGGTTGAGTTTTATGTCTGTAATTCAGATACTTGGGGCCATCATATGTATGATGGGTCTTATCTTCATGTTTTGTACATACATGTAACTCAGGATCTTTTATTTTGCATCGTTTATCGAAAGTTTACTATGATTTCAAAGGGTCTGGACGAGCAGGATATCTCATTTTATACAACCCGCTAGAGCTAAAATTTGCAACGCCTTAAAACATTTTAAAATGATAAGATTCGAGCCGACAGTTAAAATGTTTAGGCACACTAGGTTGCTTTTTCTATAATTATATTTAGTCTGGTGCAAAACTACACAGCGGACTTGGGTTTACGCTATGTAAGAGTACTTGCTATAATAAACATGCTCGTGCGGTGCCCCCGTGCAGTGCCTCCCATTTTTGCTAATATTACATCGTGTTCCTGACAACACCTACACGTACGTCGCGCAACGTTAAACTTCTGACTCATACATCTGAGTGAGAATACCGGTTCTTCTGTTTAAAATCCAGCTGGGTACTTAACGATTAGATGTAAAAGATATTGTGCTTTTCAAAACTTCGAAAGGTGATATTTCTGTGAACTTGTGGGAGATGTCACTGAAAAGACCGCCTCTAGATTTGAGATGGTGAAAGTAAATAGTAAATAAATATACCCCCTGACAAACAGACCACATACTTCTCCTGACATTTTCTAATTGGAATATACTAAAAACAAAATCTATCGTCTAACCTAATTTGCTAGCTGTCATGCACGCCCTCGGCCATTAGTTCTTTGATAAAAACCTAGCTCGACAAAGTATTATACATACGTCTTCGTGCACACGACTGACCAGTTATTAAGATGACCTGAAGTGACCCCTCAGTAAATGTGTTAGATGAGGTCACCCCTCGATCAAACTAACCAATGTCTTGTCACTAACTAAGTTTAAAGGCAAAAAAATATGGAGCAAAAACTTTTCAGAAATTGCTGCAGGTGCGCATCGCATCATTTGATTTCTAAAATCAGAGCAAACGTTCACTGGACACTTTTTTATGCCTTAAGGGAAATGAACTAAAGCTGCAATCATATTTCAATTAATGTCCATTCTATATGTGTCAGAGCCCATCTTAGAAATCATATCCCCAAAACAGCAGCATTCACATGCGACATTCGTGAATCATAACATTTTTCGAATTTTTTACCTCTTTAAAAAAAAAACTCACCATTGTATTCCTATGCCTAGCCCCAGAAGGTGAACTGCACCGGTGAATGACACCATGAATTATTGTGGAAATATTTTCTCTTGGGCTGAAACTACTAAGTCAGAACTGTATCATTTTAAATGTTATCATTTTAACAGAACAATTTTTAAAAAAAGAACCTTAAATTAAAACGTCTTTTGATTGACATACGCCTCAGTGTGACAAGATGAGTCAGAGTCGTGCATGTGCATATAAATAGGCCTTTGTTGACAGACACAAAACTAACAACATCAAAATTAACATGAAAACATAAAAATTACAATAACTTGAAGTTAAGGTCCTTAGTAGACTTTTCTATACCCTTGAATAAGAGTGAAGGGGTATTTCCCAAAATAAATTTGGTTTCATTAAAACGTCCCCTTCTCTGGTATTTGTTATTGTCTTCACCTTTCTGTTTCCTATCTTTTAATGTGATTTTTTTCTTGAGAAAAAGAGCAAAATTAATATCAAAAGTCAAAATTATAATGTTATTAACAAGCATTGCTATATATTTTAATTTGTATAGAAAAGAAATTATTTCACGATGGGCAAAATGAAACAACCTTAACTATTGCTGAATAATATTTCCTTTGCTAAGTTCCATACTTATCTCTTTCTAAGTCATATGAAAAGAAATAAAGTCAATAAACAATAAATCAAAAAGTTGTATTGCCATTGCAATTTACCCTAATGAAACCATATCAAATAAAAAAAAACACAAACGGCTTTCCCCTTTTCTTGAGGCAGAATGAACTTCCAACGATAATGCCACATAGACGATAGCCACGTTATATATTTTCCTTGTATGTATGGTATCACACAGCCACACTAAAAATCCAAACATGGCGTTAAACAGTCGTCTTGTGACATTCCGATAAAACAGGACACAATGCAATCAGTGAGGCAAAGCAAGCCTTGGTCGATATGTTTAAAGACATTTGAATACTAAAATTTCATTCCAATATGGAAAAAAAACCCACATTACATCTAAAAGGATAACTGAGGAGTTGATGTTTTAATTCGTTTTAAAAGCTGTAGGGTTATACAACTGTACATATCCACACAAGTGGATTGATAGCGCATACCACAAGCCACACTCAACCTCATTGAAAGGAAAATGCGAAACTCGTAAATAAATCGATTTTCTGAGTGACTAATGGGAGAAATACAACACCCAAAGGTAATTCTCGTTCCGTCGGTGGGTATCAATCCAGTGGCGGATTTAGAGGGGGGGGGGGGGGGTCAGGGGGGTCCTGACCACCACCCCCTTCGGTTTCTGAAATATATATCACAACAATATTTCCTTCTTGAAATTATAATTCTGATTAGCTAAATCATAGTTCTAAACCATACCAAAGGGCACTGTTTGCTCTCCAAAACACCAAAAAATTTTCGGGGAGCTTGAGCAAGCCTCGAACCCCACACCAAGGGGGCGTTGGTCGGCTTCGCATCCGAGGCCTGTCGTTTCGGACCCCCCATCCCCCACCCTCAAATAATCCTCGATGCGCCCCTGCAATCGTCTAAAATATCATTTTCAGGCAGCCCATTTTCATATGTCACGGCAAGTTACTTCTTTTTAAAAGGCGTGGAACAACTGCTCGAAAACCAGTTTTACGTAAAGCGACAATGTAATGAATGCATGTAACCTTTTATTTGGCCTAATTTAAATGTAGAAATGCCGTGTTGTAAATGGTGTGCAAGGGGGTATTTCAGTTTAGAACTTGAAGGTGTGGTGGTGAATCGTAAGCGTTATGGTGGATAAATGCCATTGTATTTGTACTCATCAATGACACCGGCAAAATACAAAGCGAATAACTAAAAATAAACAAATAGAAAAATAAAACATGAAAATATTTTATCAAACCTTATACAAACAAAATACCTACACAATTTGTATCATTATCTAACATTCTATATTTTGACTGGTAAAGGTATTCGTATAGCCTCAATTCTTTTAGTCGACATCAATCCATGAGAAATCAAACGGGATCTTTCTAATGCAGATTTCTTCCGTTCTCGCAGGAAATTAAATTGATGCCCTGATATGGAGATGCGATAAATGTCCCCCACTCGCTCTATGTGATCAACTGTATTGAATTCTCATTTTTACATTATTGAAAACGACTGTAGAGAGACGAAAATAACGCCTCAGTACCTACTCTAAAACCAAACTCGCTATTCTCATGACAGATTGCATGTTTATGAAATGATAAAAAAGTGCCAGTTGAGGAAAGAATTATTTTGTTGACCAAGTAGATGGTAAATTGGGCATTTTGTTAATTATTTTAAAAGAAAGAATATAGGACTTAACTCTCCCCAACACCAGACGAAATGATGGGGACATATGCATTTACGTATATAAATATTAAGTAGTAAATTATTTTCCTTAATGCTCACATTTTAATTAGTATCAGAAATTAAAAAGATATTGAAATATTTCAAAGCAATTGAGCAGAACATAGTAACACCCCTTATACATTTACGCAAGTCAGAATAATAAAATGAATAATCAGCAATTAGATGAATCTAATAAGTATAATACATAAATAGGTGGTCCTAATTCCTGACCGGTACGCAGAATAATCCTGTCAGTCGGATTAATAACTTGAAGCATTGTAGTCATATTTCACAATCCTCATAGCTTTCATAACATGTAAAAAAAAATGCGTCACCTGATGTTATTGTGACTGCACCAGTCATCATGTCAACGCTTATTTCTCATTGGTAGATTTCCTTGCCTAGACCGAGGGCACGCCTATGTTACCTTTTTATTTTTAGGTAAACAAAAGAATTCCTGAAAAATAGTTTTCTTTTGTACTCAATGCACGGCGTAACCATCCCCCGCGAGCGAAAATACTTAAAGGAAGCACCTAGATCTAAACAGGTATAATCACCTGTAGACTTTTAGTGTCTAAATAGGACGGGAGCAGGTTGGTTTCTGCGTGAAGCGAGTTTCCCACCACACCCCAATACACACGCTTAAATAGCGAACGCCATTCTAAAGCGGCCTGGCTACTACTTGAATAGAAAAGGATCAATACGACTATTCCGAGCTCGGTGCTGCGTATTTGTCACCCAAGCTCTTTTAACAAAAGGCCGCGCAAGTGCTACTGGGATATTGTTTAACAATCGAAACTCCACATTGAATACACCCTAGTAGAAAGATAATCTAACCAGGTCGCACACCCAGTTACACAGGTCGGAAAAACTAGGCGAAAAGACGCTTCTCGGGGGAGGTAAGTTGTTTAATTTCAACTTATAAACCTGTTTCGCAGTTTCATTAATTGAATGATGTAAATGATTTACCTAGTGTTGTTATTTAACTAAGACTTAAAGGAATAAGTTAATGTGGGACCCACCCTTTGGCCTTATTTCGCGGGAACCAGTTATGAAACAGCAAATTCTGCAGAGTTGACAAAACTAGTTTTTAAAGATCTATCTAGTTAAGATGATAGGAGTACAAGAGTGCGGACAGGTAAGACTTTTTTTATATCAATTCCATTCGTATATCATAGGGCAGGCCGCTTGCAGGCTAAAAAGTTTACATGTATACGGAACTCCTTTCACCTTACATGCCCCGTCATCCAAATAGTTACTTAATCACGGTTTCGATCGTTTTGTACATAGAAAAAGAAAACGTCGGTGCATCCATCTATTACACTGTCTGTCTGATACTTAAAGTACAGCATGATATTATGGCTCAGGTAATTGCTAGCCTCGTGGACTCACTTGTCAGTCTTAGCTGGTGGGGGGAAATGCCATATGTCGACGCCATAATCACCTTCGAGAGCATGCTTGTGACAAGTTTGAGTTCGAAGGGTTTCCTAATATGGATAACAACTAAACAACCAACTCATGGTCAACGTGTAGGTCAGGGAAAACAGGGAAGGGAGTAAGACGTTAATCACTAAGACTAAGACTGGGCGTGGTCAGACGGCCATCCCACCCTCAGGTGTGTACCGAGCCATGACTAATGTACACTCATATCCCCTATAAATTAAATTCAGTTCCTATTAAGTCGGGTGAAAATGACTAAATATTTAGCTAGTTTTCACCCTTGAGCGGTAGACAACCCCCGGTACGTGCCGTTAATTTCGCACATTAAGAAAATATGTCAGAATTACCCACCATCCGTGGTTTCTGACATGCGCAGTTGCACCTCTCATTTACAGCCATGGCTGAAAGGCGACTTAACATCCATATGGATTAGCTCTGCTAAAACGGACCAAAATATGCAGAATATCAATCAAAGTGGCATTAAATCTGTATAAAAAATGGTTGTGTATATTTGCACGTTGTGACTGTAAGATATGTACATCCTTCATGTAGTTTAAGCTTGTAAGCCGAGTAAGTATTCACACTAACGCAAATGTATTGGTTGGTAATGAGATCCATTATAACTTCCAATGGACCCTTTCCCTCATTATTACCTTAATCCCAAAATTATACTGGCGGAGCTAAAAGCATTGTAAACTGAATACACAAGAATTTGAACACACAGACTTTTAATGGTTAGTGTATTTGATTTACAGGGTGGCTTCACCAAGAAACGCTTTTTATATAATGTTTTAAACCATTACTATAGCAATGAATCGAACCAGTATTTATTACGGGTTGGTTTATAATAATAGCAAATAGTTATAATGTTTCCTCAATGAAAAATGAGGGAGACCAAAGTCAGTTAATGACCTGTTAACTTATCTGTAATTTTTTCTAAAATAATTCTAGAAAGATGGTGAAAACAATTACATGTGGCTCCAAGGGTGTATATGATATATAAGCAGTCTCTCTTACAGAACACCTCTTGTGTTTTTTTCTTAAAAGTTAGATTGAACGAGGACCATAACATTGTGATTAAAAAGACATTTGAATAATTAAATTTTGTCATGAAAATTGCGTTTTTACGTCAGTCTGCAATAGTAAATAAGATAAACAATGCAAATCCACAACCATCCGGAAAGGTATAGCCTCCCTGCAATTAAAAACACGGGCCTATTTCAGAAAAAAATATCAAAAATACCTTGCATAGGCAAACTATTTTTATTTGCCCTTATTATTACGATGTATTGATTCAGGACCATGAGGTATGAAAATGCTCAGCGCAGCGTGAAGCTAAAGAGCGTGAGGTACAGAGCGTAGTTTATGTAATACCTACATTCCACTTCGCCAATACAGGCGTGGTTGCATCGGCGCGCCCTGGGACGCAAAAGGGGGTTAGGAGTGAGGGGTAATTTCGCACCAACTAACCTATGACAGAAGCTGTGTTGAACTGTGAAATGACCATATAACTTGACGATAAAAGGTGATCTACATGGGGTCGTACGGGACAACGTTATGCAAGCAGTAGCTGTTACATCCTTTCTGAGAATACTTGGGCATCAGTGAAACATAAGCTCGGTCAGGTGTTGAACCCCCTTTAGTCTATGTGGCATTGTGACCATCTATTGTATATATCCACGCCACCTTTTGTATCTATTCCTGTCATGGCTCTCTTGTTATTTCACAGTTCTGTTTTTGAAGTTTGATCATTTGTAAATTTGAGCGACTCTTACTGTAATTCCTATTCGTTCAAGTTTCTGAAGTGATGCACTTTACAAGATTCAAGATACCGTTTCTCTTGAAAAGTCCTCCTCAAAATGCCTCTCAGCTGTTAAATAATGCATTCGACCCAAAGGACCATATTTCACAAAGATATCCATTGCACATCGTACCTGTATATAGATATAACAATGCAACCACTTAAAAGCTCACTGTGTAGTTTTTCATATTATATACCAGGCGTTGATGGAATACAAAATTATATCACCCGTGACCTTACGCCATTCTTTTTTTATCCGCCAAAGTGTAAGTCTTTATGTTGATTCTATTGTCGCCCTAATGTATAAATAATACAGACGTCACTTTACCTGAGCTGATTCAGAACAAAACTGATAAAAACATATCTCCAACGATGATGTTTGTGTATAAATTTGAAGGAATGGAACCACCTTAAAGAAAGGAACGCAAGAGAGAAAATGAGCGTGAATGAAAAACTAAATTCACTCAGTCCAGAAAAAAAATACAGACTAAATCTCCAGTCGGGAGCTTTTGACGTGATAGACAACCATGGTTGCGAACTGCAGCACTATTTACTGGTCAGATAAAGCCTTTAAATCCGCTACACTGTACTTCAACAGGTCGCACCATGGTCCATTTTGTATTTCCGAGACAATTATATTCTTTATGTCTAACAATGTATTCACAGTGGGAACTTGGCAGAAGCCGGTATTTACCTCCGCACAGGGCTTATCCCTTACTTTTAGCACTAATGCGCGACACTGCATCTAGAACTGTGATTCTCAAAACTCTAAGGATCGTCTCTTGTACTTTATTAATGCCTCATACTGAGATGAATAGGGACCAACTGTGCACCAACATACGTACGGTTGACAAGTCAATTATTAAAGCAAAAAAGTCTGCTCTCATTACTTTTGATAGAGGAATAACTTTGTGATTTTGTTTTTCATGTTACTGTGTAGTAAATCAGACGACTTAATAATACCCAACTATCCTAAGAATTTTTCAACTATCTGAAAATAATAGTTCATAATCAAAAATACAGTCCAGTCAATTGTAATTCATCTTTATGGAATAGCTCCCCTTTACGACAGTAACTTAAACAGTAATCCATGACTTCATATATATTAAAAAGAAAATATTACAGTAAAAATGTGACAACAAATATATCTGAGAGCGAAGGGTACAGGATTTTTGCCTTGAGAACATATCATTTTGCACATTATGTACTGTCATCCTGAGGGGAGCAGCTACCCACCAAATACAGTGTTAAACGTTTACGAAACCGAAAAAAGTTGTTGTAACTTTATGGCAATACTATGAAACATTCTGTTTTTGTTCGGCATATGTTTCAAAAATCAAAAGACTTGCACCGTTCCTTTATGTTCCTATAAAGTTGCTTAACCTTAACAGCGCTGCCATTTTGCTACTGTAAGTTCCTCGTGTATTTACATCCATATGAAAATACTGTTAAAAAAATAAAGCCATACGATTTGCATGGGTAAACTTATTGTGTTTACCTTGTCATTATAACGGTATACAAACGCACTTAGCTTGACGTGTCCTCTATATTGTTATATGGATTAGTCTTTCTGAGTAAAGTTCGTGGCGCATAGGGCTTTCCATTTTAGACAATTCCCTATTCAATATGCTCTACTGTTAGGATAAGTAGGCTAGTGTGGACGTGAGAGATTACAATGTGTATCTAGTAATACCTTTCCTTTGTTTCCTCTTTTTTTTTAAATTAATTTCTTAATGGGCGATTAACATTATACTTTTCATTAATGCTTTACATGACTTCTTTGAATTTTAGATATTTAGTCTATAGCGAGAAGGATATACAAGAGTATACCGCACCTTGAAATCGTCGTCCTTTCTATACGTACCAACACTTTGAAGCCAAACAGATTAGATTGCTTTTATGAGACGGGTTGCATTTCTGTTTCAGATTGCGATTTCTCCTTAATCAATCATTATGACGAACCTTCATTTTGGGATTTTGGTTGTTTTAATATGTCTAGGAAACCTAGCATCAGGTATGCTTTATCACAAGTACCAATGTCTTCATTATGATTCTATTATTTTATTTTTCATTAAATTATTTCTTTGCATTTTATAATGTTAAGTAAAATAAGTGTTTTTGTTTATCTCGTGCTTACTGTAATGTCATTCTGAAACCTTAATACTATGTGTTTATGTTTCCACAGCCCCATTGCTTTATAGGGGTTAAACATATATCAGTATTCACTCTGTGTATTTTAATATTACATTTTAGCATCCTTTAGCAACGAGGGGACCGAATTTTATGTAGGATTTATGAACAATGATTTTGGTGATGGTCGTGATATGTACCTGTATATGACGACTGGGTCTAACACACCGGCAGAAGTCACTGTCACAGCTCCGAAACAAGATACCAATTTTCGTAAAACAGTACAGGTAGCCAGGGGACAGAGTGTGAGAGTCTCCATACCAGCGAACTTCAAAGCCACAGGCAGTCAGGTGGAAAACAAGGGTATTCACGTCATGTCTTCCCAACCCATTTCACTGTATGGCCTGAATCAGGAACAGGGGTCTGGAGACGCGTTCACTGCCATACCCGTGACTGGTCTTGGTTCAAGATATTCCGCCATTACATGGTCAAATCAAGGACAGATTCTCGTGGTTTCCACTCAAGACCGTACCGAAGTTAGAGTTAAGTTGCCTGGCAGAAAAAATAACAACGTTACCTTCAACGGTGTATTACACACTGGTTATGCCGAGTTCACAGTGACCATGTCAAGGTACCAAACCCTTCACCTCCAAAGCGATGATCTCACCGCCACTCAGATTGTGGCTAACAGCGCTATTACCGTGTTCTCTGGAAGCAAAAAGGTACAGATTGAAGGTACTATGACGTCCGACCATCTGGTTCAACAGTTGACTCCCTATGATGCTTGGGGAAAAGAGTTCCTAATTTCTGCTCCACCTAATTCACAGAAGTATAAAATGAAGATTGTGTCCCAAGACAGACATCCAAATATAGGTAGAGTATACATTTCCGGTGAGGCCGCTAGTGGTACGTTTGTGACCGAATTCTACACCTTTGTCAGAGACTACCAGAGTGATGTTCTCAGACGCGTTTGGTCCGACTCTCCAATTCAAGTCGCCTTGTTTACACAATCCATGGATTCCTCCACAAATATGATAGATGCCTCCATGGTGTTAGTTCCACCCGTCTACCAGTACAGATCTAGGTATACCTTCACCACATTGGGACAAACAGCTGCAGAGATGTCCAGTCACATGACAATCTATGTTGCGAATGTTACAACAAATGCCGGTACACTGAGGATGGATGGCCAACCCATGAATGTGTCTTTTACTAAAGTAGCGTCAACTGATTATTATTTGGGTACGATGCCAGTCTCACCTGGAGCTCATGAGGTCTACAGCACTGATCCCCTGACAAACTTTTACGGTCTCATAAGTGGTTTCCATGCCAGTTCAAATGGTAACTACTACGTTACTTATCCTGCAGGGATGAACGTGGCCAAAAACACACTGGTGAGTTGAATTTGGTTATTTATTTTGGATTGAAAAATCTTTTTTCTAAATAGTTACATCCTGTTTTCAGAATAGGGTAATACATGTATCCCTCTACTGTAAATCCAGTGCTGTCGTTTATTCAACCTCTATTATAAATAGTTGAATGAATAGATAAAAAGAAAAAAATCTTCCTGCCATTTTAAGTTTTATATCCTTATACACTGATAAGAACGTTTTACACCTTCAGGGGTGCAGTCCATTTGTAGGACAGAATATTGTAGCTGGAAACCAAGTCGATGAAGACTGTGACGGAAGAGTAGATGAGGAAATCAAAAATAATATTGATGGTGAGTTTCCCGTCTTGTTGCGGAAATTTTTTCAGTATGTTAAGAGTCTATTTCAGGTTGATTTTTTCACATGAAACTCAATCTTATCTAAAAAAAAACGGGTTATTCTTCATTTAAACAAGATTTGTGTTAGGTATTTTACAAGGTTTGTGTTAGATATTTTTACGAATACGAATAAGTAACATCAAATCAGTTCATCTCAATACTAATTTTGCAAATCAATTGCAGATGATGGGGATGGAAAAGTAGATGAAGATCTGTCTCTTCCATCGAGAGGTACGCCACGTTTTTCATCTCTTTGTTGTGGATGTTTAACAATTGTCAGAAACTCAGTTTTAGTACTGGCTTATTTAGTATGGAAAGCATATATAATTTATCATGCCTTACACTTGCAATAAAAGATCCGCTGGGTTTAGCTACAAACTATCTTTAAATATCTAAAACACGATATAATGGAGAGTTGTAATAAAAATATATGCTCTCCCATCCTAGCAAATGGTAACTGGGGACCCTGGGGTAGCTGGGAGGCGTGCAGCGTCACGTGTGAGAACGGGACCAAAAGCAGAAGAAGACTATGCAACAACCCAGAACCAATCAATGGCGGCCTCGCGTGTCCAACTGACATTCAGGGTGACACAGATACGGTGCCATGTTCTTTACAACGGTGTCCAGGTATGAATATTTTAGATGTGGAAAAACTGTATTCTGTTTTACTTCAGGAGAGTAACATGTGGACTGACAGTTTTCAACTATGTTGCATCAAAGTGCATACAAAGATAGCATAAAATATGCATGATAAATTAGTTGTTAACTTTCTTCACACTTCAGGCGTCCTAAGACAAAGAAAGTCTTCCCTGTGCATTTAAATTTACTATTTGGTTTTACAGAATGTGATCCAGTGTCGGCAGTAAGCTGCACTAGCAAACCCAACACTGTCTGCAGTGCCAACAGATTTTGTGAATGTGAGCCTGGATACAGAGACACCACCGGCCTCGGGCAGTGTGTGAAACGTGAGTTTTATTGGAAGAAAGTACAAAATCTTGTTGTAGAGAACTATCACCATTTATCTCATAACTAACGAACTGCTTAGGGATTTGATATGAGAGAACAAGTAAAATTTTCCATTGCTTTCAAACGATCATTCTCTCAACTACCATACCAGAATGTGGCTTATAAATAAATGTACGATTTTTTCAATAAGTAAAAGGCCTACCATGCACGTTAATTGAAACATTTTTTCTCTGTTAGATATTTTTTCCTCTTCTATTTACCTAGCAGTCCGAAAATTTATACAAGGGCATTATTATTATATTTAGCATTCAAATGGGTAAGTTCCTCTATAAGGACACAATAAGGCGAAAACTCAATCACTAGTGTCTCGGCATTACAGGTAAAATAGGCGATACATGCGTTTTGAGCACCGACTGCAATACTGTTGTGGGCAACAGCAGATGCGTAGAGGGGAGATGTGTGTGTTCCGTTGGCTACAAACCAGGACCAGACAACACGGCTTGCGTACAACTTACGATCGGAGACGCATGTACGTCAACAGACCAATGTGATGTGGTGATGGATCACGTGACCTGTGGAACCGGAAATACCTGTCAGTGTAACCTTGGATACATAGCGACCAGTGGGCAGTCACAATGTCGAAAGAGAGTTGTAGGAGATAGTTGTTCAACAGACGGCGATTGCAGCACTGCGGTAACAGGAACGACTTGTTCCACGTCTACCAGGCGCTGTACATGTGCCATAGGGTACCGCCCCAGTACGGACAGTACTTCATGCTTGGCACGTAAGTAAAGGTTGCCAGTAGAGTGTTTTGCTGGGCCTACTTATTTTGTTCTTAGAAACGTGAAAACCGTCTGCTGCGATGTTGCCGAATATTGCCTATTATTGTTGTAAGTGAAAATGTTTAAAAAAGCGATTTCATTGTGAAAGAAAGTAAATTGATTTCTTGATGCATTGATTTAATTGAAAAGAATATTAGTATAGTAGGCCTTGTACTGACGTGTTTTGTAATATTGTCCGTTTTCTTTGTTGTACATGTAACCGAATGATTTTCACATGTACATTTATGCTTACTGCAGGGTTTTTTTTCTGGTAAACTGTTTTTTTTCATTATATCTTATCATACTTAGTTTTTTTATTTATATGTTTGATTTTGTCCTTGTTGCATGGTGTTCTTTTAATAATTATTATTGAATTGCTTTGCTTATGGTAGATTCCTTGTAGAAACTTACATCTTGCACTCTATAGCGCTAACAGTTACATCATGTAAGGTGCATGAACCAAAAGTAGTCTTTATTAAGTAGAATAGGTCCAACCAATAAATGTACCTGTAGATTAGGTCCAACCAGTAGATGTACCTGATGGTGTAAAAAAATATTTAAGTCTTCCTACTACTTACCGTATATAGATAAATAGAGCTTCAAAGTAGGCAAGACACACAGATGACCAATTTCTAAGCTTTGCATGTTTTCATTTGGAAGGAAAAGCTAGGTGACATATAGAGCATGCAGCTTGATTTGAGAGAGGAGACACCTGAAACACAGCCATTTCCAAAAATGCACACGTTTGATTTCTTTTCTCCTGTACCGGTGATTTTTGTGTGACTGGAAAGGTTTTTTTCCCAAAAGAATGAGTTTTCTCCAGGGCTAGCTTTGACCATCATTTAGCCTGCATGTGTGTTCAAAGAGGATGGGTACTAACAGAACGGTGCGCGCGGTATATGCTCACTAAAAGCATGAATCTACGAGGCATAGACTGGCTGTCCACGCTGAATGTTTTGGGAGTGGTAAAATGACGAAGACAGACTGTTTCAGGCGTGATTGGTGACACGTGTCAGTTAGACGAGGACTGCTCCACAATCCCACAATCCCAGTGCCAGTCTGGAACCTGTCAATGCGATGATGTTTTTCTTGCGTCCGGATCTACCTGTAGACCTCGACTCATTGGAGACACCTGCAGCAGCAGCAGTAACGGCAACGAACAATGTAATGCCTCCGTTAGTAACAGCGTGTGTTTTCAGTCACGATGCAAGTGTGAGCTTGGCTATTATCCGAGCACTGATTCGACGACCTGTAGAAAACGTACCATTGGGACCGCCACCTCCTGCATAGTGCAAGAAGATTGCACAGCGGCCATACCTAACAGCCGTTGTGACGAGGGGGTTTGCAATTGCAACGACGGCTTTTACTCTCCTACTGGAAACTCGTGCATAAAACGTAGGCAGATATTTTACACATAGTCTACATTTTAAATTGATGGATTGTTTTCATGTCCTGTAACATTACTAGTATGAAAGTCAATAAGTTTTCTTAGCGAACTCTATATTCAAAATGTTATTCATGTAATAGACATTTACTTTTAAGTACAAACCCACGCAATAATGATTTTCAGGAATGATCGGGGACACATGTCAAATGGATCTCGACTGTTCAACTGTAATCCCTTTCGGTGTGTGTTTGAGAGGCAGGTGCTCGTGTCCCAGTACTCACATAACATTCAGTGACCTCACTGGTTGCCGAATCAGGTTGATAGGAGATTCTTGCTCGGATACAAATCAGTGTGAAACAGCGATAAGAAACAGTAGCTGTGTAAACTCTGTTTGTCAGTGCGACCTTGGTTACACCGCAAGTCACGATAATTCAACATGCAATAAACGGACCATTGGGGTTCATTCCTGCAGTGCCGATACCGATTGCCTGTCCGCCGTAAGGTGGAGCGTGTGTAGGGAGAATGTGTGCAAGTGCTCCGATGGATATGTCTCCACCAACGATGGATCAGCATGCACCATGCGTAGGCATATTTTACGCATTCTTATCCAAAATATTCTATTGATCTATTACAAACCTCTAAATTCAAAGCCTATTAGGAAAATTAAAATTAAAATTATTGCACTGGGACCTATATTATATTGCACTGGCGGATCCAAGATTTCAAGAAGGGCGTGGGTCCCAATTTTTTGTCCCGCTGAATAATCTGGTTAATCAAGCGAGAATTTTCTTCCCTTTAATATGGGTGGGGAGATAAAACTGCCCTTTGGGCTTGGAAAAGGGTGACACACCCAGGACCCCATTGTATCCGCCTGTGCATTTGGATATTTTACTGGATCTTGTTTCTATCATGTTTTGTCCCTAATACCTCAACGACATATGCGAAACGTGAAATTGTCGAAAACATTTTTGCTCATCCCATCCATTAATTTCAGGCAAAATCGGGGATCAGTGTCAAAATGCTTTAGACTGTTCTCTTATACGTGAAAGTGTTTGTGGCACTTCAAACAACTGCCAATGTAATTTAGGCTTCACAGCAACTGAAAACAGAACTGCCTGCAGACAACTGCAGATAGGTGATCCGTGCACAAACCAGCAGCACTGTGAAACGTCTATTCTCAATGGTGAATGTCATCGTCACCTGAGCGTTTGCGCGTGTCCTCTAGGCTACCATGCTGAGACATTAAACCGCTGCGTAAAACGAAAAATAGGTGACGCCACTTGCAACAGATCAGTTGACTGTAGCGAGGCAGTGGAGGGAAGCATGTGCAAAGGAGGGATTTGTGCATGTATGTCGGGATACAAGGCTTCTGCGGACATGACTACATGTAGAAAACGTAGGCCCTCACTAATTTTTTGCGTTCGTTTAACGACTTTGTTTACTTCATCATTTTTCACTTGGTACATGTAGGTCAGATACATTACAATTTAGATTTAAACAACCTGTCTTTAATTAAATCCATTTAAAAGAAAGAAAGACCCGTTCAAATGAGTTCAGTAAGTTTTACACCATTGCAGGCATGATAGGGGATAATTGTACGAGTGTTGCGGACTGTACGTCTTACATGGAGCACAGTGAGTGCGTGGAGGGAAAATGTGCTTGTAATCCCCAGTACTTGCCAAACGAGGACCGAAGCAATTGCAGAACTCGGGTACTGGGCGATCCTTGTGAACTCGCGCAGTCCACCACTGCCCAATGCAACATATCGGTCTCGCACAGTATCTGCGAGAATCTCGTCTGTGTTTGTGAGCCCGGGTACTCAAAGAGCGTTGATGGCAGGGCATGTATAAAAGATGGGCCATGCTCAACAAACACGGATTGCAACGCCGTTCTGCTTAACAGTTTTTGTTTCAATGGAGGGTGTATATGTACTGACGGATATAAGCGCATGGCGCTTCCAAGCGGAGACGAATTTTGCCAGCCACGTAGGCCATATCTTTCCTTCCACATTTTAATCATCATATGGTCCAAATAACGAAATTAGCATACTGAAAATATTTTTAATGAAAATTCCTTGAACTTTAAAAGAAAAGTCTTAGCAGGCTATTAGATAACTGTAAATGAATAAAAAATTCATTTTAATTCCCAGTGAAGAACGCTACTTTGGTGATAAAGGGCTTTTTTGCATGATGGCTGGAAAGAGGCATTCCTAACTCTTGTTTTATTTTTCTGCAACTGTATTATCACATTTTAAGTGTAAATTGACTTGTCCTGTAGGATCAGCATGTTTGATCCGTTTTGTCGAATTTTTAATGCATGTAAACCGTTTTGTCGCTACCAACAATATTATTTGCGTTTAGCTTTTCAGTACTCAGGGGTGGTTGCATAAAAAGCACTTATTATGTATTTGCACTTTTTCACAATATGTATGCATGTGCCTGCCGGGATGTAATAGGGGTGGCTTTAAAGTCCACTGGTAAGGTGGCTGAAAGACACTTATCTAAAAACAGTCGCTACGGCATCTAAAAGCAACAGCATGTATACAAGCATGTCAAGCATGTCTAAAGCGCAAAAACTTATTTTGCTTATGCTTTTCTTTCATTTATTTCCCCGGTGTGTGTTTCTGTCGTTACTTCAGCTGCTTGAAGCTTTATCTAATCAGTAATGGAATTTAGTGGATTGCCTTAAAGTATACTCTTGTCATGCTCGGACACTATTTTAGGCCCACTGAATGACCCATGTCAAAGTACAGGAGAGTGTTCAGCAATTTTGCCAGCAGGTAGCTCTGAGTGCAAATTGGACACTGACGGGATTAAGCGATGCTTCTGTAGCGATAGTCACAGGGAGTTCAACTCTACACAGTGCAGGCGTGCAAAAATCAACGACATCTGCGAAACGCCGAGAAGTACCACCATGTGTACCGACCCCATTCCTTTCAGTGAATGTTCGGCTTCCAGTTGTGTGTGCAAGGCAGGTTATATGGCATCCCCAGACCTAGCGAGCTGTACTAAGCGTGCCGTCGGCTCACCGTGTTCAACCAATAATGACTGTCAAGCAGTCGTGGTGGACAGTTTGTGCAGGGACGGAAGATGCAGCTGCAAGCAAGGATACAAATATACCTCTGCAGAGAGCGCATGCAGAAAACGTAGGCATATTATACGCATTGTGGTTGCAAGAAAAAAATGCTCTTTAACATGTGTATTTTGTAATATATTGTGAAACATTTCTTATCCTTTCAGATTGTTGACAGATAGAAACCAAATATAGATTCTTTGCCACTGTAGTTTTGTGCTGGTGATCTTTCTCTTTAGCGTGGAATTAGATTTCATGTTGAGTGTTAAACGCAATGCAGTTGTGTCTTTGTTGTAGTAATTGAGTGATCTTAGTGGGAAAGCATAGCGATATGTTTCATAAGCAGGTAAGTGTTTCCTTCAAACACCTGTAGTCAAATCAGAGAAATGTCCAAGATAATTTGACGTGGTCTTTTTCTTATTCGTCGCCGTTCCAATCCTTGCAGGTCAAATGGGCGATGCTTGCAGCATTCCTGAGGATTGCTCAGCGTCTGTGGCCTCTTCAACGTGTTCTAACGGAAGATGCGCCTGCATTAGCGGTTATGTACAAGAAAGCAAAACCAAATGTAGGATTATTCACATCGACGACAACTGCACCGTAAATGCCGACTGTAGCGCGGTGAGCGGAGAAGCCGAATGCAAAGCGCAAGGCACCAAAAATATGTGCAAGTGCAAGGACGGATATTATCCTAGCGACTTCACTCTATTGGCCTGTGCTCAGAGACAAGTGGGAGACAAAAACTGCGATAGACCTGCCGACTGTTCTCAAGTCATCCCTCATAGTACCTGCTATAACAATGAGTGTATGTGCGTTGCTGGCTACCGATCAACACTAGATGGCAAAGGCTGTAGAAACAGTGAGTACGGCATTTGATACTCTTTAGATAACTGACGCATTTTCCCATTCAAAATAAATGATATTTGATCTGTATCCAAAACTTATTCTTTTCCTTGTTAGGAATAAAGCACTTTTCTTTTATTGTAAGGTAAATATATAAATATGCATAGTTTAATGCTGCAGTTCAAGGCTCGTGTCCATTTTGTCAAATGAAAAACCATAGATTAAAAAAGTATGGTGTATTTTATTTTCTCACTTAAACGTGGAAAAATGAATGGCCATTTATTGTGTCAATTTTTTAAAAACAAAACTAATATTTCCACAGCTCTAGAAAACTGGGAGATTGCCCTTATCGCTGCCGCCTGTGCCTTCGTATGCTTCGCCATCCTCTGCTTCCTTCTCGGCTGGTGTGGTAGGAAGCGCATTCGTCGCAGACACAGCATGAAGCAGTTCACCGGCGCTTGGCATTCTTCTATCGAAGACCTTCGTGTCTCCTCCGCCGCTTCTGACAGCACTTTCAATAAAGAGGACATGAAGTCGTGGCCAGCTGATGGAATGACAGAGAGGGAAAGAGTGGAGACCATGTCCAATCCTGTCTATGAGACCAGTGAAATTAAACCCTCAGACGTTGGACTGGAGTTTTAGACATGGTATCAAGTATACCTGTTTTTAGAAGAGCCGATAGTACTTGATATAATGCACTTCCGTAATCGACAATTGCATACCCATAATGCTCGTTTGTAGCGAACGATAGCATTTACATCACTTAATGTGGTCAATTACAAGTTATTTGAAAATATATATTTTAGCCAACAAAGAAATCCTGCGGACAGTCTCTTTAATGTAAATATTTCGTAAACTTAATAATGGATTTAGCAAACTTGCCCTTGCAAATTTGTCATTAAGGCGAGATAGAGTTAAGGTATTCGTTTTATGAGTATTCTATAATGTGGAAGTAATCACTGAAATACCATAATTACAAAGGGGGTATCAAATGGTCCGATACTAAAGTCACATATCACAGGCTTTCATATCTGCACTGATTCAAATTAATCATTATTCTGCATTGGTCCGCCACTTAGAACGGTATGTTCTAGGGTAACTGACTTCCCGTTACGTGCCTACATAATCGTTTGTTACACATGTACATTCCTTCTGCAATGAATTTATAGATGAGATGTTTGGTAGAATAGGTTGGTCTAATGCATTTTTTCTATTTCGTGTCTCAACAGAAAAATTATTGTTACTTACAAAAACGCCTCTTGTTGGCAGATTATTTTAATTACACAGTTGCATCAAAGGTATATTTGCGCTAAGTATACTTTTACATACAGTGTTACTTACAGCATGTTATGGTCTAATATTGCAAGGCGCGTTAATTCCAAGGGTCTCAAATACTCCGGGAGGCATTTTGATTTTATTAAGAAGTGAAATAACATTTAATAACCATTCACGTTTTTTATACTTTCACATTTACATTTTACTTTGCAAAATATCATTTTATAGAGATAAATAACGACTGTTTGACGTTACACTACTGAAAGGCGACGAGTTCCCAAATATGTAGATACACGTTTGTACTTGAACATATTGTACATAAATATTGTAAGACAAACTTTTGAGCAGCTAAGTGCTGCTTAGACTATGCAATCGAGAAAAGTCTACACCGTTATCCGGTCACAAGAAAAGAGTGGAAACTGAGTGTTTTTCCAGTTAAGTCGTTTTCAGATGAGAACTCCTGTAAATACTCTTTAATACGTATTTTTGTAATGCATAGTGCCCATTTTAATAAAGAATATTAGGGCCTTCATATTGGTTTTGTGTTTGTGTACGACTTAATGCTTTTGATTATTGAAAAACGTCGCCGGTGAGGACACAATTATCTTTTAAAAAGCTTTTGATGTTCGATAATTTCTTTCGGGATACTTTCAGAACATTCTGTCCTATCTTAGATAATTAAAATTTCAAGATAGGTTAAAAGAATATTCAAACTGTATAAGTTGAAAAAATATGCCTATACCTGTCTGTACCTGTGTCTGTCTATACCTACAATGAGGGGACTGAAAAAATTCGATTTAGTCCCAAGCTATATAATTGTTGAAGACGTTTGTCGTAGGAGATGAGGGGGGTTTAAACCCACTTTTTTCAACCGTGCCAGTCATGAGAGCAGTAAGCAGAGAAGAATCCCTCCGTCCTGACACTTATTTTTTACTGAATGATTATTAACCCTAGGCTGACCTCCCTCCCCCCCCTCCCCACTTATACTTTGCTACCTACGCCCCTGAAACTACATGTACATGTATCTGGGTTTATCATTTGGTGCTTAATGGAGGCTGGTGGCAGGTTAGAATATAAAATGGCTTACCTTCTTTTAATCTTCTTGATCCATGTCTAAGCTTGTCCCTGCCTAATAGCACTTTGTGGTCATAAAATCGGAGAGCAAAAATCGGTGACAAGCCAACACTGTGCCTGTTGTAATTAAGGTCGTCATTGATCGCTTGTTGAAGTGTTTACGCCATGGTTGGGCAAAAGTCAAACTGCCATTTCCCGAATCCTTGAAAAGATTCTATCTGCTGTTATCTATCAATTTTTATACATCATGACCGTCTTTGTAGCCGACAACACTTCCCTATTTCCAAAGACGGATATAATGGCTGTACGAGTATTGGTATATAGCGACATCCTTTTACGTTTCTGTTAGCAGCTATAGCCTCGCCCTCGCTCGTAGCTTGAGAAGATCTTGGGCTATGAGCTGAACTCACCTTAACAGCAAAGTGACTTTCCAACACGATGTTAGTAGGCTTAAAATTTAGACACAATACAAGCTCCAGTGATAAGGGTGGGGTACATACACTCGTCTTCTTGGCGGGTAGACGCTGGCTTTTGTGACAACACGTGCTTTCATTATCAGGTAAAAGCAGAGTAACGGATATTGGACTGCAACATAATTCTGAACACTAACATATCGATATCATTTTTTTATTTACGGCTGCTTGAATCCCATCATGCAAACACCATGCGCGATTGTAAAGTCATTACATCTCGTCACAGAATAAGTTTGAAAATGGAAAGGATTTTGTAAAACTTCTAGATAATTATCTTATTCGAGGACAAGCTGTTAGCACAACTAATAATTATCAATGGACTGAAAACGGCCCGTGTTGAGATATCATTGAGTGCAGCTAGTATGGGTTATCAGTTCACACCTAAGAACATCCAAGTTTGTTGCACTTTATTCCTTTTTCATTAACAAGGCTCCATGATCTTTTGGTGCACTTCTAACCACTCGATATTACGAAAGACAACCCCGTACTACAAGAGAACTCGTTTTCAATATCTTACAAGATAAAAACGCTAAATGAGCTGGAAGCCCAAATTACATGTGGTAAACAGAAACGGTGAACAATATCGTGATTTTTAACAAACACTTCTAGTATCATTTACAAGACTCCTAAACCACCACGTCGGAAATAATATTTAGGTTACAAATAAAATAAATAAAGAAATGACGAACCCAATTTTAGTGAATAATAATGGTGTTTACATCAATCTCATATTTTTAGTAAGATTCCGATTCAAGTTTAAGTGCAACAACTATCAACTGAACACCTTATGAATTGTAACAACCGTCAACACCCTATGCACTGCAGAAATCTTATCAATTACTTCAAAGAATCAAATTGAACATTTCCCCCAGCGTGCAGTCTACAACCTCATTTCACTATAATAATAACACACAATAAATCAACTCTTCAATTGTGAATTCTTATAAAGAAATCACAATGCAATCGTTAAAATACAAAAACAACTGAGCAAAAGCAAAAATATATGTGCGATTAAATACTAAAATTCCCATGAATAAATTAAGTATGATTTATCATACAATTAATAAAAAAAATAATACAAAATCACTTATTTAATATAAATGGTATATACACATAAATTACATCGTTACTTCCCTAAGTAAATCGGCACAGCATATAGTGATGGACTTCATCAAATGCACTTAACACTCTGAGAACATCATCTGGGTCCTATTGATAACACAATCCACTGAATAAAATTATCTTCTGGACAGTTACCCTGTGAATTAACTGATGTTTCACAAATGCTGGATACTTTTGGTCTCCAGTTTTGCTATCTAGTGGTTACTATGACTGCTATACTTTAAATGTTATCCATAGTATAGAGCTATCCAGTGTTGACGAAACTGGATCCTGATATCAATTCATTCACATCAGAAAATTTTTGATGACTTTCTGGATAGGTCTGCGGCAAATCGGGCACGGTCTGCCGCTCCACTTCAACCTCTTGGCGCAAGAATAGCAAGTCACCTGGTGTCCCGTCTTCCCGTGAATAATGCTCGCCTCTTTGGGCTTTGACATGCATATCACACACAGATCATTGTACTCATTTCCAAGGGGCTGCTGTACCCTTGACGGTCCTGGCTGCCCGGCCCCAGAGGGCCCTGCGCCTATCACACCGCCAGATAGAGACGACGTACCTATAGACGCCCCACTGGAACCGCCAGTAGCGGTAGACTGACCACTGGCGTGGGAGTTATCTGACCTGTTGGCCGCAGAAGAAGTTTTATCAGACTTAGGACATTCTTTCCATGCAGTTTCGTGTTTGGAAGATGTGGTGTGGAGCAAGGGGAGTGTTGTTTTTGAAGAACAGTTGTCAGTGGTTGTTCCTGGTGGTTCATATTCTGGCTTCTGGGTAACGTCATCATGTGAGTTGAAACTATCTGAAGCTGCACCAGAAGTGCATGGCCTAGCACTCAGAGAAGCTAAGCCTATTTTCTTTGTATCTTCGCCTTGTAAATGCGAGCTTGCGGATTGCTGAAAGGCGCCTATATAATTGTCATGCGACTTGTTATCTTTATCTTCATTCACGTTAAGTCTATCAGTAACATTAAAAACACCATTTGAAGTAGATTTTATAACATCATGGCTGACTGGTTGATCAATTACATCAACGTCCACACCATTTCTTTGTTCTGTTACAACGGTTACACTGTCCCTACGAACATTTAACCCCGGCAGCATGGGTTTTGACCCGACTTGAATTCCAGAACAAACAGAACCACCATGGTCATTCAGTACAGACTTGAAAACTTCATTACTAGTAGGCCCATCAACGACATCAGTGCCACAACATACCTCAGGTTTCAATGAACTATACTCAAGGGGGCCTTGAGTAAGATCAATTACATCATTATACGCTGGGTAAATATTATGGCTCAAAGAGCTGTGTTTAGAACTTCCAACAAAATTGGCTTGGTCTACAGTTAATTCTGATTTTATTGAATCATTCCATGGCCCTATGCTACCATAACCACTGCTTTCAGACTGTTGTTGTGCGGTCATAACAGTGCCTGTGGGTTCATCGTCCTCTAAAACAATGGTGTCATTGGATCCTTCAGAATCCAACACCTTTCCAGCTACACTGTCAGAACTTGGGAGTTTAATGCAAGTTTCTTGTGTGCCAGGTTTATTCCCACTTGCATTCTTGCTGCCATCTGAACTACTCGCACATCTGTTCTGTTTGCTGTTAGTTTGCTGGGGTGGACTTCTTGTCGCAGAAGAAAAAGACTTGCCTCGTCCAAAATCTTCATTTGAACTACTGTTTTTTCTTCTGTTGCTGTATGTAATATATAGTTGCTGGTTGTTTAATGTTACTTGCTCCATTTCTTCGCCTGTCATTTCCACGGGTGCAGATATTGAACGCCGTAAAAGACGGTTTTGTTGAGAATGTCTGTCTGGAAGCCAACCGGGACGAAGTTTCCAGCAACGATCACAGTACCGTTGAAAAGGCGAGTTCAACATGTCACATTCTCCGCATCTCCACTTGTCCTGAATGGTAAAGTTTGAGGTTAGAGGCGAGGTCCACTAATTACAAGAAGCTTTTAAAAAAGATGATGAAAAACACAGCCACTATCATCAAAATCGCTACATTTTCTCGAGAAAATTTTGAAAAAAAAAATAACAGAACAAATTTTATTACATTCACTTGTTTACACTCACATCCTGAGAGATTTCCATATCTGACCCATCACTTCCAGAAGTAGATTCCACATCACTGGAGTCTGCCCAAAACTCTATGTCACTGTCATTACACACAACTACTATATCCTGAAATGAGAAAAAATTTTCAGTATATTTAAGTTGTTATAAAAATGTTCTCACGAGGTCTTCAGCATACTCTTAAAATAGGATGATTCAAAATTTCATAATTAATGAAAAACATCTTAATTAATTCACTGGATTACTTACTGATGATTTTTCTACTGTTACACACGAGTCTCATATATAACATTCATGTCATAAACTTAAAAAAAATTAAAGATTTGATTACACATTTCTAAACAACTGCCAAATAAATGCAATGAAATATATACAATGAGCAAATCACTTATTTCAGAATAAAATGTACACAATTCTGAGATGTCAACATAACTCATCTTAAAGACATGCAACCCCTCACTGTACCTCAAATTCATCCGAATCTCCCGACTCTCCACCCCCGGCTGTCCCGTGACTGGTGTCAGATCCCACTTCATACTCCACAGAAAAGCCTCCGTCTGATGAGATCTCCATGTACCACAGATCATCTTCACTGTCCTGAATCACTGCTGTCTCATAACCCTATAGTAAACGTGTAACACACAAATTAGATTTTATATCTAGAAGACAAAATATTTGTACTAACCAAATGAATTGAAATCTGTATGAACTTGATCATATCTAATACACAATTTTTGTCCATTTGAGTTCTAGTACTTCAACCATTCTGAAGGTCATGGTTTTTAAGTCTGAAATTGCCTAAGTACAGGTGCAATAGCTTAATTTTTTTTCCAAAAGCACCTCAATGCTGAACTAAGCAGCAGGGAATTTATCTTCCACCAAGTCTTTATTTTATTTTGAATATAACTTATCTTTTAAAATATATTACAGTAAAACAGATCAAGGGTTTGATTCATCATTTTTATTTGAAAACTTAGACAAAGGTGAAAAATCCTGTAGCTCACGGCTGAAAAAAAAAAGGGAAAAGAGAGTCAATTATCACCTGAATGCTGAGCACTTCACTCTTGTTTTCATCAGACGTCTGTACTTGTACTTGATAATACCACGGAAACTTTCCCTCCCCATCACTGCTGTATGTAATACTGATGGAAGACTGCCTGGCACGAGAGGCACTGCTACTTTTACTGCTGCTGGATTTCTCTGTGAAACAAAAAACATTGTCAAATTATTCTTGAATTCCAATTTTTTTCCTTTTTTTCCTTTCATCATCAAAACTACAAAAAAAGTGAAGTCTGAACGATTGAACGAGAAATAATTGTTTCAGTGTCAAAATAGTTAATATAATCTCAATACCTCTTTTCCTTTTCCTTTCCCTTTTTCCACTAGTGTTTTCTCTCTCTTCACGCCTGACTTGTGCTTGGCTACTTTTGGACTTGCTAAGATGATCTTCATTGTGGTTACTATCTTTTACAAATAATGGTTGGACACCTATCACTGATTCTGCTGTCAAGTTGCTGGCTTTTACCTTAAAGATAAATGACAAATTTCAAAAATATTATCTGTTATCAATATATAGCATTCAAAGCCATATTAACTGCAACTATTTTAATTATGTGTTATTTATTCATTTGCTGAAGAAATGGCAAATAATTCAGACTCTGATTGTAAACAATGACAAAACTTACCACTTGTATCATGTGTATACACTTTGGGGGTAATTAACTAATTAACTAGCTACTCAAGGAGGCATGCCCGACAATTAATCTGAATACAATGAATGCATTTTAGCAAGAATCCCAGAGTCAATCCAGCTGGTACGATGTTTGAATCTGTACACCTCTATGTCTTACACATACCTTCTCCTGCTGCCTGTGCATCATAACATATTTTCTGTTCTGCTCCTGTGCGGCTGGAGTCTTTTGCTTCTTGGCAAACTGAGTACATGGCATCACAGGCTCAATATGTGCAGAGAGCAAGGGACTAGAAAACAAGAAACACATGGTAATAAAAATTTCATTTACTAGTACATTTATTCAGTGATGCATTAATATGCATTTGTAATGAAAGGTCTGAATGTTTTTAACATCACTAAAGAAATAAAAAAATGTCATTTGTTTCTACCTGGTTGTGGGTTATAGTGTATACAGGTACCAGTTATGTTACTAGATGTATGCTTCAGTCTTAAAAAAATTATCATCTATCATCTTATATATAAATGAATTGCAGTGCTATATGGTACTAGTATATCCTAAAGCTGGTCAGGCTTACATGTAAGGTATGTCCTTCAGTCAGAGCTGACCTAATGTAAAGAGGCTTGAATGCAGCATTTTTGAGAAAAATGACCATAAATGAATAAAGAAAAACTTACAGGACATCACTGATTGTGAATTTGCTGCACCCAAATACTTGTCCCAGCTGATCTTTTTCACAGTGTACTGTGCCAGGGTCACAAGGATCATACAACTTTTTGGAGCTGATGTACTCCTTCAGAAAATACAGCACCTTGTTTGAAAAAAAAGGGGCAAAACTTATAATACTAGCTTATCTAAGAGTTATTACCACACCAGCCAAATTTTGTTTACTTTAGTTTTACCTTAAGAACTGAATTAAAAAGAATGTACTCCTTCTAAAAACATTTATATCTTCATACCTCTTTTCTGGTAAAGAAGTCCCCATCTGCACCTGCAGACCTCAGCAAGTGCAGAAAATCTTTTCCAGGGCGAACCTGGAGCAAAATTTTATAAAATAAATGCAAACTCATAATTCACATACAATTATACAGGCTGTCTCAGTCACAATGAACAAGTGATGTTAAAAAAATTTCATACTTAAAATTTGGTTTCATTACTATGTCAAAAAAAGAAACATCCCTTCTTGTTAGAAAAAATAACAAAATGAGATAAATTACCATCTCCACAATGTCTTGCCCTTGGCTTGAAGCAAAGTCTGCATTTGCAGCAGAGCTGACAATGGGTGTTGTGGAGGTGCATGTAGTGATCACAGTCTCTGTTCTTGATACCTGAAACATGGCATAAATACCTGTATATATCAACAGTGGCAGTAAAGAAAAGGACTTGTATTGTGCGTAGTTTCAGCTTTAAATTTATCATCCAAAAAGGTATATATCCTTTAAAAAGGTGGTGCTTGAATATACACGTACACATGCACACATACACATGCTCGTTCACTAACACCCACACACACATTCCAACTGATACTTGCCAGTTACAGCATATGTCAATAAAATGGCATATGTTAGGTGGTTCTATATGAAATCATTATGATCACATTAAATGAAGCACCCTTCCAGCTGTCGGAAGAAGACACCCGGCTTGGTCTTATTAGATTGAAAGTTAAGAAGGCGGCAGGTCCGGATGGGATTACACCTAGGTTGCTGAAATTATGTGCCGATGAGCTCTCTGGTGTACTGTGCAACATCTACAATTGGTCTTTACGCTCTAGCTATGTGCCAAAAATATTTAAACAATCTGTGATAATACCTGTTCCAAAGCGCACGCCTGTTACCTGTCTTAATGACTTTAGGCCTGTAGCTCTAACTTCCATTGTTATGAAAGTGCTTGAGAAATTTGTTATGCAACATGTGAAATCAAAATTACCGACGTCCTTCGACCCTTTTCAATTTGCATATAGAAAGAACAGGTCGACGGAAGATGCTGTTGCTATTACTCTACATAATGTTCTTACTTTTTTGGATCGTAAAATCCCTAACTATGCAAGGTTACTTTTTATTGACTATAGTTCTGCTTTTAACACGATATCGCCTTTTAAACTTCACGAAAAACTTATTAACTCTCTCCATTTTAGTAAATCACTAAGTAATTGGATTTTAAATTTCTTAATTAATCGTACACAACAGGTCAGAGTCGGCAATAACTTTTCCAAGACTATAGAGATAAATACTGGCACGCCTCAGGGCTGCGTCATTTCGCCTCTCTTATATTCTCTGTTTACATCCGACTGTGTGGCTTCGTATCCTGATTGCTTGATTGTTAAGTTTGCAGATGATACCACCTGCGCTGGCCTTATTAGCACTTCCGAGTCTGACTATCGAAATCAAGTTTCGGCCCTTGTTTCATGGTGCTCTGAAAACGACCTCGAGCTTAACGTTAAAAAGACAAAAGAAATTATTGTAGATTTTAGGAAAAACCCAACAGAAATTAGCCATCTTACGCTGAATGGTTCTGAGGTTGAAATAGTCAGACATTTCAAATTTCTTGGCATACATATATCTGATGATCTTAAATGGCACATTAACATAGATGATATTGTCCGCAAAGCTCAGCAAAGACTCTACTTTCTACGACGATTGAGGTCATTCTATGTCAACCAAGAACTGCTGGCAAAATTTTACCGGGCTGTGATTGAGAGTGTGCTAACACAATCTTTCACCGTCTGGTACAGTAGTGCTACAGTAGAGGACAAGAATCGCCTCAACCGCGTAGTAAAAACTGCCAGGCGCATTGTAGGTAGGGACCTGCCGTCTATTGAATGTTTGTATACGAGACGAGTGCTCAAGAAAGTAAAGTCAATCACGAGTGACCCTGGTCACCCAGCGAATAGCCTACTTATGCATATGTCAACAAGCCGACTGCGGTCATTAAAAGCAACCTCCACGCGCACTAAGAATAGTTTTTATCCATCAGCAGTACGTATTTTTAATGAACAAAATGTATTTTAATAATTCCACTGTATCACATTTTATCGACAGATCATACCAACTTTCATTTTATATTTGTATAAATATGACAATAAATTATTATTATTATTATTATTATAAAGAAAATTTTGATATTAACTCATACCAGTACCTGTATGGCTACTGATGAAGTTGTTGCAGATGCTTTTTGCTTCTTTCTCTTTGGCATGTGGGCCTAGATTGTGCTAAAAGTAAAACATGCAAATATATGCATATAAACTGGTACATGCGTAAAGGTATAAATGTAATAGCCCCAGAATGGATTGTCTCAGAATACGGTATAACATGCTTGGTACTCACTTCAGGAATCTAGCATGTAGGACCAAAAACTAAGGTAACAACATGAAAATCTTTTGATCACGGTGTGGACAAAGGGGGGGGGGGGGTTACGTGTTATAATCCAGAATGCAAGTGCACTAGTCAATAAAGAAAACAATCAGGCCGCGGTTCATGTGCAATGTTAAATATGGCTGATTAAAAGGGCAAAGGACAACAATGGAGTTGTCAAATTTGAAATATCTGTTAATTGGCTAGGACGACTGCATACACTCACACCTTACCTGTCCGCAACTTGCAAGACTCGACAGAGGAAGTGTGCGGAGGAAGACCTAAAGTGACACGACTCGAATCTATACCAAACAAGTCTTAAATACTGTTTTTATCAACCTGTAGGGGAAAAGTCCGTAGATATTCATAATATAGGCAAACCTTACTAGAAACTAAAAGTATAGGAGAAAATTTATAAAGTACAGATGAACTATATTGTACGTACTTACCTTCAGATTATTCCGCACACATGTTCTGTGTAACGTGCATGGGCACGATTGCCGTGATATAGAAAGTGCATTATAATAAAATGTTACACTTTGTGTAAGGATACATTTTAACCTTTAGTAGTTGATTTATGGAGACAGCAATCTGCACAGTAATTTACTTCTACCAGTTATGTACAGACTTGGAAAATAAAGGGAGTTTGCAAAATTGGGTCAAGGATGGAGACGCAAACGACAGGGATTGGCCACTAGAGGGCGCTAACTATAGTTTAGCTTTTCATTTTTGTGGTTAGTGCAGTAGGCTACTACGGTGTGGTCAAGTGATTGGAGGGGGGAGGGGGCAACACTGTACTTACACTACATGGGATTCACACTTCAAATTTCAATTGTCTTTTACGAAAGACAAATATATATCTAAGTTTAAACTACTATTTAACGTGAACAACATGTAGGCTTAAGCCTACCTACATTATAGATGATCTGGGAAAATGTTGGAAGTTGCAACATGAAGCTACCTAATAATATATTGGGCAAAAATAGGCCTACAAGTACATGTGATGCCCTGGTACAACTAATAAAGATTTTAAAAGGCCGTTTTCAAAAATTCATTTGGGGAAAACGCAAGCTCTTAATCCGCCCCCCCCCCCTCCCAAACACACTACCGACCACTTACTCTTAACACCGTGTAGGTTTGCTTTGTCAGTCTCATATATCTTTTGGTGAGTATTCTTTTAAAGTCGCTCCTTGCTGCACCCAGAGAATGGAATTAACTGCCGCTTTTACTACGTAGGATAGGCGCTCCGGCTTCTTTAAAAGAGGAGCACAAGACTTATCCATTCAAAAAAAAAAAAAAAATTAGGCCTATTAACAGAATTTTTATAATTGACTTTTTTAATTCAGTGATGAAGTTACGTATTTAATTTTTATATATATATATATATTTTTAATCAATTTTTCCTTTTCTTTTACTAGCTTTTTATTATACATGTATAACAGTACCCCCTTACCAAAAAAGTGTCACCCCTATTTTTATATCCAGCTCTTAAGTGAGAGGGAGCGGTTGACATAGGAGAGAGTTGTAACCCACCGGATTGCCAGAGGGTTGGGTTGTTCCATGTGAACCATTCAGAGGGACAGACAACATCATAACCAACCATGGGCATTATCGCCTGGGTAAGGCCGACCGAAGGAAAACCACACCCAGAGGAGAGAGAATGTTAATACGAATGTGAAAAAATTCCCTTTAGAAGTTGAATAAAGAACAATGGTTTATGACATCGTTTTCTGTATCACTTTATGCATTGCGTTAGGGGTGACACTTTTTTGGTAGGAGAGTATATTTTCACTTCAGGCCAGTAGTGGCCAGCACTACTGTATAGTCTACTGATTTTGATTTAGACTCAAAACAAATATTATAATTATTATTCTGGTTCCGTTTAATGAAAATATACATCACAAATACGTTGCAGGAGGGTGAAAGACCACTGAATCGACAAATAAACCATAGAGAGAGAGGCATAGATTTGCGAGGCAGTTCCTATGACAGGGTTATCCAAATATTAAATTTTACATTTTTAATTTTAGTTCGTTTATTGCCAACTGCTTGATTAGTTTTCTGTCAGTTTTTCCTGTAAGCGTTTTCGGAAACTCGGAGCGTGTCAAAAAGTACTTTGGTGCCAAAGACAAACCATCGGGTCCCACGGAAAAGCGAGCCTTACACCATTCTTGAAGACCATCTGCTGTATGTTCTTCGTTAAGGATTACGCTTGCACAGAGCTCCTCTCCAAGCCTTGCGTCTGGCACCCCAACAACGACAACCTGTTTAACAGCAGGATGCTCTGAGATAACATTCTCAACTTCTGCAGGGAATACCTTGATAGTCGCACGTTTTATCATGTCGTCCTTACGGCCGCAGATTTTGATTTCACCATCAGCATTCATCATTGCGATGTCTGAAGTGTGGAACCATCCAGCATCGTCCGATGCTTTTCTTGATGCTTCTTCGTTATCCACATAACACTTGGGTAAGATCCAAGGAGAGCGGAAGCATAGTTCTCCTTCTGTGTCAGGAGGGATATCTAGACCATTTTCATCAATTAATTTGGCCTCGACACCGTTGACTACTTTCATGGTATCGCTGTACGTTGTTATTGTATTGAATCGTAAAGCACCAGAGCCAACCTCAGTCGATCCGTAACCATTAACAACGCACTTAACGTTTGGAAAAAGAAGCATGATGTCTTTTGTAGTGTTCATGTCCAGGATTTGACCACCTGTGAGTATATACTGGAGACTAGGTACGTCGTGCAGCGAGGGGTCGTCGCGGGCGAGTAGATCAACCATAAAATAGCGCATCATTAATACGTGGGTGCATCGTTCCCTCTTTAATATTCCCATCACAAAGTCGACCTCTCCATCGGCTACGGTTATGGCTGTATTCACGGTTACCCCTGTAACCCCATAAACAGCCATTACCATAAGTGTATTGATCCCACCTAACCAAGCCAATGGGCGGTCGTTGAAACAAATGCTGTCTTCTTTGACTTCCAGCATTTCATTGAAAGAGGAAAACTGCAGGAGGAACCGGTGGGTGTATTGTACTCCTTTCGGTTTTCCAGTAGAACCCGACGTAAAGAAGACAAAGAGCGGATCGTCTGGGGTGAAGTTCTTTGCATCGGGCAGGTTATGCTGATCGAGAGCATCTTCTTTCTCAATTAGTGAACACAAGCGAACAGAAGACCCGGAAATTCCATCAGAGTTGGGACCAAAAGTAACAATGTCTGAAGTCTTCTTGGCTATTTCCTCGCAAACCATTTTTTCTTTATTTGTTCCAACGTACATGACCAACGCCAGGCACGCATACTGCTCCATATTGTTAGCTAGGGTGTCTAAGTTGCTGAAAAGAAATCCATTGCATCCGATGCGACTCAGTGCCAGCACAATTAGAAAGTATTCATGGCAGTTTGGAGCAAAAACGGCGATGCGGTCGCCCCGCTTGTAACCACGCTGATACAGTGCTGTCGCCAAGGCAATGGACTTCTTTCGAAGTTCGGCAAACGTCCAACAGTCTCTTTGAGTGCGGCTCTGGTAAACAACGACGGCATGTTTGGAAGGAAGCCGTTTGGCAGTTGCGTCAAAAACCTCTGGTAAGGTTGCATATAAATAGGGAGAGGGCGCAGGGTTATGGTAATAATTTCGCCGGGAAAAATGTCCAATTTGATTCATATTCTTCTTCTGGTAAGTAAAAAAAGAAGTTTTGAAATCAAGCAATACCAAAGACATATAATAAATTCACTAACACAATTAAAAACTGGGGAAAGAAAACTTACTTCAATACTCATGGGGTAAGAAACCCAATTCTCTTTTGTGCAGCTGCTGCATACACCTTGCGAAATTCGGAATGGAGGACAGATGTTCGGTGCGCTGTTTGTGTCCCAGTAATGATATAAGAGGGGCAGATATGCAGAAGAATTATGTATTAAGTGTGTGAACAGCATGGCCTTTAGGCCAAAGAGCTCGTATCTTGAAGTTATGTTTAATCTGTGGTCTAGAATAAGGTCAATAATTATATAGTTTTCTTTTATTCAGCAAGTTGCAAAATATATTAATAAATTTTAGAGAAGCTTTGTTACCAACATGCGACTAAAAACCCGGTGGCATAAATGCATTGAAATGTTTAGCAATGGATTTATGTACGATTCATTAGTGTTGTCAGCAGTAAATTATTAAACTAGTTTGACAGTAAGGAAGCCAAAATGACAAATACTTGACGAGATATTTCCCCAAGGAATTACACAAAGTGCATCCCTGTATCATTTTCTAAAAGATTTATCATTTAAAATAGCGTTTTTAGTTTTGGCTTCTTAAAAGTGATAATCGCGCTTTATATTGCATAATTGCTTTATTTATTGAATGTTTCCACCAGTGCACAAATTTGCACAAGAATTGTTACATGAGACAGACAGATTTGACATTGCAAAATTTACTTTTTAGGCACGAACTTTCCCATTCGCCCGAGTTTGCTACCAACCATATGCAGTGGGCTTCCGATGATCTAAATAAAAAATTATCTGAAGTGCAGTTCCCCTTTTTGCCCTTAGACTAAGTAAATACCGTTATCTCGGAGATACGACTTGGGTATCCTGAGTTAAGAATATAACCCGTTCGTAAACCTGTGAGCTACAGTAAAGAGCTTAAGGAGCAGCCAATCGAGAGGCTTTATTTTTCCCTGCGGTAAGGTCTTTATGGAAGTTTTTTTAAATCTTTATAAAGTGTCTTTTTTTAAAAGTGCAGTATGTGCAAATAACGACAAAAGTGCAACATCTTAATTTCTAATCGTTCAGAACAAATCTTTCATTTTTCCCCCAAGTCACAGTTTAAGAAACATTGCTTTTACAGCATACATGTAGGTATCTTTATACATTATTCGCATAACATGCTGCTGAAAATCGCAATTTACAATCATGAAAGTTTCTTCTCTAGAAAGCGAGAATGGATCGAATGTGCGCAATACATATGCCGCGCAGAAGCTACCGCCATGGGCCTCAAACCTCCATTTATCCATACTCGACACTTTCGGAGGTTTTTGACGCAACTGCAAAACGATTACCAAACAAAACCGCAGTGATTGTTTACCAGAGTCGAGCTGAAAGAGAATGTTGGACATTTTCAGAGCTTCAAATAAAATCCATTGCCTTGGCGTCGGCACTGCATCAACGAGGCTACAAGCGTGGTGACCGCATGGCCATATTTGCTCCCAACTGCTCCGAATACTTACCAGTTGTGATAGCACTGAGTCGCATTGGGTGCAATGCTTTCCTTTTCAGCAACTTAAACAGCCTTGTTGGCGACGTTGAGCAGTACGCCTGCCGCGCTTTGGTCATGTACGTCGGAACCATCAAAGAAAGAAAGGCATGCGAAGAAATAGCCAAGACGACAACGCAAATTATCACCTTCGGTCCAAACTCTGTCGGCATTGCCGGGTCTTCTGTTTGCCTGAGTACACTGGTTGAAGAAGGACATGCTCTAGGTTACCATCAGCTGCCAGCCGCGGAAAACTTCACCCCGGATGATCCGCTCTTTGTCTTCTTGACGTCTGGCTCCACAGGAAAACCAAAATGTGTACAGTACACACACAGTTCGTTTCTTCGTTTCTCCTCTTTCAGCAAAACGATGGCAGTTACAGAAGACAGTTGTTTCTTCAACGACCGGCCAATGACGTGGATCGGCGGGATGAACACTCTGCTCACGATAGCTGTTTTTGGAGCAACGTCAATAACCATGAATACGGCTTTAGTCGTTTCTGAAAGAGATGTCGACTGTGTTATGGGTATATTAAAGACGGAGCGATGCACGCACGCAGTAATGATGCACTATTTCATGGTTGATCTACTCGCCCGAGACGACCCTTCGCTGCTCGACGTACCTAGTCTTCAGTATATACTCACAGGTGGGCAAATACTGGACATGAACGTCGCAAAAGATATCATGCTACTTTTTCCTCACGCGAAGCACATGATTAATGGCTATGGTTCAACTGAAGTTGGCGTGGCCTCCATAAGACAGTTCACAGGCAAACCGTGCTCAGAATACATGGTAATCAGTGAAGGTGTTGAAATAAAGCTGATTGATGAAAATGGTCTAGATGTTCCTCCTGACACAGAAGGAGAGCTATGCATCCGCTCTCCTTGGATCTTACCCAAATGCTATGTAGATAACGAAGAAGCATCACGAAAAGCATATGACGGTACAGGTTGGTTCCACACTTCAGACATAGCAATCATGAACACTGATGGAGAAATCAAAATCTGCGGCCGTAAGGACGACATGATAAAACGTGCGACTATCAAGGTATTCCCTGCAGAAGTTGAGAATGTTATCTCAGAGCATCCTGCTGTTAAACAGGTTGTCGTTGTGGGTGTACCGGATGCTAGGCTTGGAGAAGAGCTCTGCGCATGTGTTGTTTTGAACGAAGGGTGTGAAGCAAAAGGCCTGCAAGAATGGTGTAAGGATCACTTTTCGGTGGGCCCTGACGGCATGTCACTGGCACCAAAGTACTTCGTTGTATGTACGGATTTCGCAACTACAGTCACTGGAAAAACGGACAGAAAATCAGTGAGGCAACTGGCAATGAAGAAGCTAAACATGCAGTGACAGTTTTACCGTAACTTAAGAAAGTTGCAAAACCGTAACTTAAGAAAGTTGCAAAACACGCGAATTTTAATGAAATAATTATGTGATGATATTGAGCTGGCATTAAAAAAATGCAAAAAAAAATGTTATTATATCCTTATTGCCCTATATACAGTATGCTACATGTATGTTGATAAGCATCACTCTACACTGTAATCCCCCCCCCCCCCCCAAAAAAAGTCGACAGCTTACCACAATATGGAGCTTTCCTGAACTATATACATGTGGAGGATGCAAAATAAGTCACTTTGATGAATTTGAAACTTACTTTTGTATCTCGCGGTGGTTTTGACGAAGTAAAAAAAAAATTAAAGCAAAAGTTTTGCCGGGCCTGCATGTTTATATTTCAATACTGACATTTTTCATTTAATGGAACGATCTTATCTAATGAATAATTTATTGACCCAAATGTTGCTTTAATTCTGTCTTTAAGACAAAACATCGATGTCATTTTCTACCGGTGTATGTTTCAATAATGTTTAATTATTTAATTCATAACACGGAATAGAGAATATACATATGCCTATAGATGTATTTTTTTCCTATTCCGTCCACATTTTCCCCATTTCAGACCAATTAATTGAATCGATTTCAAACAATAGGAACAATGATTGTCTCATGACGTAGTGTTATGCCTTCGTGCCCACAATTACGCGAAATGAGTAGCTGATCGATGATTATTTGACTCCTTACTAAGACATGGCGTTTTTTAATACCAAGAATATCCTTTGCCCCAGCGGTCGGTGTAAGTATTGCTTTCTTCACTAATCCACAGTAAGATTACGGATATATCTATGGACTGATGGACTTTTTATATGTCCTGTGAAAGGATGGGGCCAGTGCCCTTCACCCTTGACAGTTCTTAAAACAGCATCGAGGGACCTCTGTCTTGGTCAATTAGACCTACTCAAACATTTAGGTATGAACGCAGTTCCTTTTTGTTTGATTATCGGTATTAAGTTTGCGTGTATTGATTTCGGAGACAAAAACAAACAGACAACGAAACGGAATGAGGTGTAATTAATGATTATTACAGATGACTGTGCAGGTGCCAGCATCTCAACAATTTAGATACTAGGCGCTTAAACAGAAGGCAGCAACGAATTTTCTTGAGCATTCAGGGAATCGCAAGTAGGCAGTATTCATACAATTAGAACATCCTAGTAATTAGAACAAACGGGCATTGGTTTATACCGTGAAGACAAAAGTGTTTTTCTGGTATAGGGTAAATGTTATACGGTGTATACGTAAACTTTCAAATCTAAACATTCCGAAGAGACGCAATGGGCGACGAAGGGTTAGACAGCTTTATGCAAGAAAGCAGCAGAAGTTATAAACACTGTAGAGTGAAAAATTGTGCGGATCTCGCTTCCTTAAAGAGACAGACCCATGACATTGATCTTGAACGCAAGTTAGCCGCCAGCACTTTAGACAGGGAACAGAAAATGCTGATGGTGCAATTGAGAAGGATGAAAATGGAGCAGGAGATACATGCTCTGTCCCACCACTCTGTTTCCGGTAAGTAAACTATAGTTTTAAAGCGTGGAACCTAAAAAATCAGATTCTTAACTTTTTTCCGAAGTTAAAACTCTGGGGAGTTCAACTGCACCTTCACTTTAATAATATTTTACTATTTTGAACAATTTTATTGTTATATCATAAAATTTCTCAGTACTCAAATCGAACAACACTGAGTGAACAAAAAGATGAAATTAGCAGTAATCTATGCGAATTATGGAAAAAAATCTACAAAATTACAAAATACTAGAACATATGTTTACAAAGACAGTACATTGTCTATGAAGATGACGCTGGGTTTTTTACATTATTTATTCAATCAACCACTAGTCCGTCAAAATATTGATTGCTTTTGATGTTTTATTTTTATCTTATAAGCGATAAAGAAAAGTAATATACTTTACAATAAACGACAATCGCTAATCTATTGCCATTAAGAATGACACATCTAATAAAAATATAGATCTAGACGACAGAGTTAGAATACTGTATTGTCAAACCCAGTGAAAGGTGACTCGAAAAGAACCTCAAAATACCAAAATATTACGCACTATGCCCAAGTTCAAATTATTTCTTACAGTAAAGGTAGACCATCTCATTAAAAAACAAGAACACAATAGCGGTAAGTGTCCAAATTCGAATACGTCCGGTAAGTGTCCCAATCTATAAGGAGTAGGTAGCATAAACATGACTATTCAAGGACAGTTGATAATAAAAATAAAAATATCCATTGTACTATATCACTGAATCATTGACTTGTTGATTTCGTATGCTCTTTGGTACTATAAAATGCCCCGGCCATACCATAAACCCAGAACCCACAATATACAATAAAACGAAAATATTTACCAAAACTACCATCTAATGACGTCGGTCACCGTAGTAAATGTGACAATCCCATAGAAAAGGAGACATGAATTTTTAACTAAATGTCAACATGGTTATTACTTCACTCGTGAAGTCTTAATTGAAAAATCGTTATTATCCAATGCGACTCGATGAATCCTAACTACTGGTATGAAAGAGGTGGTGTGATGGCTCTCAATAGATACGTAATACAAAATCGATAGAAATACGTCAGTAAAAGAGGCGTTGTGTTTGTATAACCTCTCCAAACTTTACCGACTATGTTTAGTATCTGTTACACAAAGCACTAAAAGAAATAATATAAGAAAGAATGGCTCACTAGGTTTGTACAGCCAGGAATAGATGTTTCAGTAAAGATCGTGAGTTAGTGTCCAAAACGAACAAATACTTGTCTATGTTTGTCAGTCTTCAAATTATACTGCACAAAAGAGAGCGCATATCATGATTTTTATACAATGACTCACGGCTAGTGGTGAAATAGGTTAATAGTAAGATGAGAAAATAGGCCCTTACAAATAAGAAAGCTGTTAACACCTACTGAAAAGGTTTTTTAACGAATATTTTGACCACTTTTTCGTGCATCTCGTCAAAAGAAAGGAAATCTTATGCCATTTTCATAAAATAATCTTATTGGTGTTTGTTCATCTACTAAGGCGTATGTCTTTATTCAACACTTTTTCTTTTTTCTCTTCATTTGTTCATCAAGATGTCCCCGTGCCTACAAAAAAACTCCAAATCAACAAACAACAGTCTCTTGACTCAGAACCTGCTCCTCCCAAACCTGCTGACGTCAGCGACCCTTACCCCATCAGTTTTGGGCGCGCCCCTACGCCCAGCGACCGCGGGTTCAGTAGAGTCAAGGTGGAAGATGATGACGAAACTGGCGAGGAAAAAGATGAAATTAAAAACACAGTTGAGGAACTTGGTAAGGCTTAAAGAGTATCATCTGTTCCACTTTCGTTTATTATAGTATATACAAGTGCCATGTAAAAGTAGATTTATATGAAAATTAAAAAGATGAGCCACTGCAAATGAACCCCCCCTGCATGAAATAACCTGGGCATCGTAGGTTAGGCAAGGTCTTTATTTGGTGAATAACAGATTTTTCGGATCTTAAGCAACAATACACATTGTTATGTAGAATCAATAAAAGCAATTCAATATGTTAAAGTGACATATAGCAACAATGTTAAAGGTGATCTGTGTGTTACTAATAATGATGATTGCTATATTTTTAAAATCAGAACAGTATTTATTTGTTACATGAAATTATCAAACCCACACAATATGTTTTTTAAATCTCTATTGCAGGACTTAAATATGCTAGATCACGAGGTCGCCGTTTTTCCAGAGAATTTGAAGATCTCCATATACATACTGCAACGGGCTCTTTGCTCCCCCCGCTCAAAAAAAACCCTTATCGGTCAAACCTGCTTCCACCCATGTCTCATGGTGCCAAAACAGGCTCCTCGTCCGATCTTACCGTGTTACGAGAACTGGAACACTGGCCTGGAGATCCTGAGGCAATCAACTCCGTTCGTAGGAGCAGAAAAACTGTCGAGCAACAGCATAGTGACTTTATATTGAATCGAAGCGAGGAAGGTCACGAGCTTAACCACCACCAGGCTACTGCCGTAAAATTTGCCCAAATGCGCCTGGCTGGAGCAGAATTTCTAAAACGACACGAAGGAGAACGACCAAGAGCTGGATCAGTTGGCTCGAGGCCAGTTTCCAGGCTAGCCACGTCCCGCTGCGGGACAGCTACACCTTCACCCCGCTCTGGTGCCAGCACCCCGATAACGTCGCCAAGGAGTGAGATGAACACACCGATAGCGAGTTCCAGGTGCGTTACTCCAATGGACAGTACACAAAGAAACCATCTTGTAGAAGAAAGGTTCTTGCAAAAAGGTGACACGAGACCAAGAAGTCGAACTGTTAGTGGAACCTATGACCCCTCTTTAAATGTAAGACACAAACCGCCGCTCCCTGCCGAAGTCAATTTGTCGCATCATCAAATATCACCAAGAAGAAAAAAGCTGCGAGCACAACTATCAGGTGAAGAATCACCAGCTAAGGAGCAGAGCTCATCTTCATCGTGGAGTCACAGCGATAAAATTGATGTGAACGACACGTCAAAGCTTGCAGAACAAGGAGCACGGAAAACCAAAAACAGCCCTTCGCCAGAGGGCGCCAATGTACACGACCAAACGCAACCAAGAAGTCGCTCAAACTCGTTAGGCTGTGAAGGTGGAGTTACCAAAAAGAAACTTCAGTTAACAAAATCAAACCCATTTCCCGTCTCATCCGGACGCGATACTCCGGGGTCGTACCCAAACCAGAGAACCAAAAATGTGATCGTAATGAACGATAACCATCACCCACAATCTCCCGCACGCCACCGCAGACTGTTTCGCGTCTCCGGACTAGCTCAAGATCATCAGCGTGCGCCGACTCCGGGTGGCGAAACTCTTGCTCAGGCACCACAAAACGCCTTGGCCAACGGATCTCATGACTCAGAGGACGCTCACGTAAACACTGACCAAAATTTGCACATCACTACTCTTAAATCGCCAGCTAACCATAGACGTCGGTTGCGTCCGGCCTTGCATCCCCCAGAAGGATATCAATTTGACGACGTGGTAATACATGCCCATGAGACAATTGAGAACGGCAAGAAAGAACATACTTCACAAGACTCGGGGAAAACGCGTCGACAGCTTACCCCTATTCCTGGGAGTGTGTCGGCTGAAAATGAAGGGTGAATGTCTGGTTGTATTGCTCCTTACTGTTAACCTTTTCTTTTCCATTTCTGCTTTCATTGCTCATGCTAATGTACAAGTAGTTATTTCTTATTTTATAAATAACGGCGAACCTTTCTGTTAATTCCCAACGCAAAACGGAGCTAGTTACCGCCTTTCTGTTACGTTGTTGCTGTTGTTGTTGGCAAACTCATTTCCGTATCGTGCCATTAACTATAGCGCTTTCAAGTATGTTCTATTAATTGGTTCTCACCAATGAAAATGCCAATACAAGTTCTGAAAACGTCAACAAAAGAAACTAAAAATTACACTTAGCCTTAGGTTTGGGCGATTTTAGTCCATATAATGTTCATACCTCAGTTAAATGTGCTACTGTATCTTCTCTGTTGTACAATGCTTCCTGTTGTTCAAGCTTCCCCTTTCATTTGCAAAGGTTACATTATCATTTCGATCTTTTGCATGCGATATCTGTCTGCTTTTAGATACACGTTCGTCCCATGGCATCAGAACGCCCTCCCCAGCGTCCAAGGTGACCGACAGGTGTGAGTTCTCTTAACGACGAGGCGTCTGGCATGGAAATAAACACTTGGAAAGGATCCAACGGATCATCCCTATAAAAGATATATTCGTTACTGGTGGCGCAACGAGGGGTGTGAAGTTGAAGCATTTTGCATTTTACTGATAATACATGTACACTAAACAAAAATATAAACGCCCCACGTGATTTATGTAAAATGCAATGGGCTACGGATAAAACCCACTTTGTATGATGAAATATATATTTATAACCCTTAACACTGTTTTTTTTCGTAGGGCGTTTATATTCTTGCTCGGAGTATGTTGCACAATTAGTTTTCTGGCAAAGTCAACAGACGCAATATGTAAAGCATATGGCACGTTTGATTTAATGTCTTTTTAGTGGAGACTGGAAGAGCCATCGTAAATGAATCGATGACAAATTAATTACAAATGCTTCCAAGCCTGTGATAAAACGCTACGATAATAGGAACAACATAACGCCAATTCATGTAAATCCGAGAATAGTTCCGTTTGGCTGTGTGACTAGTGGTTTTAAGACGTTTCACTTACGTATGCCTGAAGGAATGGGTGTTTTGTACAAAGTCCTCCACACGGGTCTCAGAGAATATTTAAACCTGCTTATTAACATTTTTCATATAGCGCACACAAAAATGAACACCGGGAAATCACATGATTCGTCATTGATTGGCAAAACACTTTATTACGACGCCTCCTACTGCACATTGTATATGATGGCAAGGATCATTATGGCAATCCAGGGATACATCAATGTTTTTCTAAAAAAACATTTAAGAGTCCAAACATGTGACCCTAGAAGATTATAAATAAAAAAGGGTTTTATGAATGTTTGTCCATACCTTGCTTTGATATGACGCTTGGTTTACTCTAGCAAACTGTTAACACAGATCTACATGTATTTCACGCATTAAAATGTATGATATAAATAAATAACTGTTCATGGCTCTCCAATACTGAGGTTGCCTTGTCTCTCAATCACAATATAAGTGTCACAATAACAATAAATAATAATAAATAATGATAACACGTCTACTATAAAATACAAATTAAATAAACATAAACATGCTAATATATCAAATGTGTACGAGGACCAAAGTTACGGCAGCAATAAGCACTTTTAGTGTATTTGATTTTTAAACTGCATTTCGCAAAATTTCGCCATACACAAAATAATGTCCTGGGAAGATCTAACAAACTAGATAACTGCTACAGTAAACTCTAATTTCAAGGAACCATTCACTACACAATTCTGTCATGGACTTCATCAGATCTCTTGTTCGACTTACATACAACATTCATGTTTTGTGATAATATGCAGAAAGCTCATTTGAGCTAAAAAAATGTATGTTTGACCAATGTGAATAAAAACCTGAAACTGTAACATGACGACAAGCAACCAAAAGTTGCATTAGTAGGCTCAAGGTCAGTTTTAAGATTAGTTAGTTCCTGCTGCAGGGCAGCAACACCTTCAATCTGATCTGGCACAAGCATCCTGATATCAAGACCTTGACTAGATGCAAAAGCACACAAATACCCCAGTACTGTGTACCAGTAACTGGTAAAATAATATCCAAAAAGGCAGCTACCTTATCCATGCATGTAATGTTAAAACACTGAACATAAAAACTGTTCAGTAAAATAATTCAAATGTGGACAGTCATCCATTACTGCACATGTTTTTGTTCTGAAAATAAAAATGAAATATAATAAAATGAACACCAGTTTTACAATGGAATTACTGCCTGTGCAGGTTAATATGTACAAAATGTTGAACTGACAATACAAGTCTATTAAACATGAAACATGCTTTATATTTAAATATTAAACAAATAATTCTAAAAACACAGTTATCTCAGGATCAAATGTTTAAGCATTGTTGATAAATGACGAAAACTTATAAATTCATTTGACAGTTGAATATTAACTAACATACATTCTAATAAAAAAACTAATAAAACACATATTTTTGTGTCTATGCACTTACCTAATATATTGCGCTTACACAGGGGGCATGTCCTATTCTTAATTAGCCATGTGTCCACACATTTTGTATGGAATTCATGGTAACATGGAAGAACACGGATTTTCTGAAAGTAACTTTATTATTATTTTCGTGCTGATTATTCTTTTAATTTAAGTCATAATAACTCTTCGTTTTGGCCAAAAATTGGATTTTCCTGGAGTAACGACTCGATTCCTGCATTCAAAGTTAATCCAGGGTTTTTTCCTAAATGTTTGGTTTTTTGTTAAAATCTCTTAAGAGATTTTAACTGACGGAGCCCTCTCTGACATTGCATAGTCACGCGATAGTCAGCGATATTTTCTGGTGACCTACTTAAAACCACGGGAAAAGCAGACAACAACAGCACTATGTGACAATAATATAAGATTCATAAGATATATTTGTCTTATTGTTCAAAATGCATTTATATCTACAATGTGTGCAATTCTGGGCTTTTCGTTATCCGACGCACTGTACAAAAACTCGCAATTTACGTCTGCGGACTGCATCAACGCGTTTGGCGCCAGATGTTATTTTGGTCTCGAATGAATGCGAGAATCTGCGTGACACCCCATAATTATTGGCAACGGATGCCTTAACGACCAGGAAAAAAGGCATCGAAAGCCCTATTGACAAACACAGATTTTAGTTTTAGTACAATAATGGCCGTTTTAGTGGTAAAATGCAATAGAATATATTTCCATGCGTTGTTTACAATGTATTTCTTGCGGAATTTTGAATCTTAAAGGAAGAGTTATTATTGCTTTAAGAAAAATATAAAAATGTTTAATTGAAAAATGGTAAAAATTACATCACCTTTAAGAAGATTGACAAAGATTAAAAAGATCCCATTCTTATGCGTTTAGCATGAAAATTCCTGAAATGTTAAAATTAAAATTTAGACACATAATACATACCTGTCTATGCAGAAAGACATCTAAGCAAACAGCACAGGTATCTCTCTCACTATCATCATGCTTTGAGGTATGGTAACGCCTAGTCTGCATAGACGCTACTGCAGTGTGTGCCAGTTTACGCAGGGCAACCTAAAAACAAAGGCTATGCTTTGCAATTTACTATACTTAGTAAATTTAGAAAAAAAAAGGTTGATACACATGCACTTTCAAAGCACATTTTCTAACTGTGGATTATTTTATTCCATTTGACACCCATAACAACAACCCATTTCAGGAATAATCTCTGCCAAATGCATAAAAATACCTATCAAATACACTAAGATATCTCCTCCTGGTGGTGTGGCCAACAATACTATATATACACCACCTCCACCTGGTGGTAAGAAAAATTACATCATACACTACCTCCACCTGGTGGTAAGGATCCTCAGTTCTTCTCCTTCCAGCTTTGATTAGCAGCAGCAGGAAGAGTGTGGCAATACTTGAGAAGAAGACACTCCAGAACTGGGCAGGGTCTGTCTGCAATTATGTATACTAATAAGCATTTATAACACGACAGAGTCCAGAGTAGGAAGGGATGGAGGGACTTTATAGTCACCCCAAATGAGGCAATAGGCATATTTAAGTATTCATATTATAATATTATAAAACTTCATCTACTCTCCATATAGCTGTTACAATTCCTGCATGTTTCTCAAGATAGTACAAAGCAAAGCTACTCACCATATTCATGTGACACTCCATGCAAAGTTTAAAATCAATATACATGTACATATGTGAATAATGTACTTCATACTTATTGTCATTAAAAAAACTAGTCAAATATAAACAAGTTTGAATATCTAAAAAAAACATGTGATAATGTTCTAAAGACGAGGCTGGTCCAGATACCTTGGTATCATCCTCCTTGCCCAGGCAGACCACGCCCTCCCACTCATTAAAGGTAGCCACTCCACTGGATCTGCCACATGTGGCCCACAGGGTGAGGGTGGAGATTTTCTTAAAATTATGAAAATTATGGCCATAAATTTATATACTGGTAGGCAACCAAACATTTTGTATACTATGAATAACTTGTTATTTTCTTCTTATTATTCTTTTAATTTTTTTATTTCTTTATTCATTTTATTGTTTTTTATGTAATCCAACAATTTGGTGATTGGCATTTTTAACCTATTATTTTCTGATTTTGCTATGTGAAAAGGGTGAAACAAAGATCTGGCCATAAGAACAATTTAAACAGTTGAAAGTAATGACATTTTTAATATATTTTCTTACCTGGAGATCATGGATAGAGGTATTGTATGTTATCTGCACCAAAGCTTTGATTTTGCTGAAATGAAACATCATATTTGTAAATCAAAGCCCACAAAATGTACTTACAAACTAAGATGTGTTTTAGTATGGTTATAACTTGAAGGTGTTTATAACTATAATTATAGCATTTACATGATTAAATTATCATCATATTTTATAGAAAATAATTGCACAGAAGACATTACAAAGACACTACAGTACATTTCAGATTGAAACATGGAATTATGTACTGGTATAAATACCAATGTACCTTAATATAAACAATATGTAAGATATCCAGGAGTAAAGAAAGTTCATTTGCAAACATCTCCCTTCAAAAGAATAAAGGATATACCTTGTGAGAACTTCAAGAAAAGCAGTAATATTTTCAGCAGCATAAATCACAACTACAGGTCTACTGAACACTTGTGGCACGTCAAGCTGAAATGGAAGTTTTAGATCACCACTAGACCACATACAGAGATTGGAGAATGTGAAAGTGAAAAGTGTGACATATAATATAATATAATATAATATAATATAATATAATATAATATAATATAATAAAGGATCAACTGTGATGCAGTTATGGAAGAAAAAGACATAAATTCACAAAATTTTACAACCATAAATTACTGAGACCATATTTCAGGCTGTTTTGCACTGTGATTGACAATGTTCAAAGTGTAAATCATTGCTAAAATATTAAATACAGACATACATATCTCATTCAGAAAAGTTATACAAAACAGCCATGCAAACCTCTTTGATGATATTCCTATTAATAGTGAGAATTATGATGGCTGAGGCACCCAACAGCATGGCCTTCTTCACCTATTAAAAAAACAATGGATTTTAATTCTGACTTGGAAATGAAAAAATAAAAAGGAAGAGGTAAATACAAGTAAAATATAATAAATTATCCTTATACTTCATCATCTAATTTTTTTTTATTTACATTTTTGACTTTTCTTTATTTTCATTTCAATGTTTGCTTTCTCAAATAGTAATGAGATAAGTCTCTCATACATTAAACAGCTTACATTCAAGCATAAGAAATGTGCACATACACATACATATATGCATTCCAACAGTTTACCTTCTCAAGCACTGTACACTGTGTATCATTGACTGCATACGTGTCATCAACGTTGAGAGCTGAGTAGTCTAACACTGCTATCCACTCATGAGCACTCTCCTGGTGTGGTGAGGAAGAGTCGTCAAGTTCACAGCGAACAGGGACCTTAAGTGAGAAAACGTTCAGGGTAACGTAAGATAGATAAAATATCTAAAACAAGGCAGCAAAGCTGTCAAATGTACAGACAAAATAACAGAAAAAAGGATGCGAAAGAGGTAATTTTGCCAATTTTGATGCAATAATAAACAAGCCCATGGAACTTCAAATCACACCTTGAAAATGCCAATATGTGAAAATGTTTAACTGGCAGTAAGAATTACCAAACAGACTGCATTGCCTACTGAAGCTGAATTTTAGTCCCATGTTTCTTTCNATCAGTTTTGTAAGTTTCAAGCCAAAAAGTAAAATGGTTTTCCACTTATCGTGTTATCGGTGCTGCATATATGCTGAAAAAAGTGAAAAAACAGCATAACTTCCCTACAAGTGACCCGATCATGCTGATTTTCGAACTTGACCTGCGTATTATAAATATTTATCAATTCTGTAAGTTTCAAGCCGAAATGAAAAACAGTTTTCCAATTATCGTGTTATCGGTAAAAGTGCACGGCGACGACGGCGACGACGGCGACGGCGACGGCGACGACGGCGACGACAGACGCAGGTGATGGCTATATGTACAGACACATCTGTGTCTGTACATAAAAATCTGGGGGGGGGGGAAGATGTAAGAATTAAATATGTCGAATTACTTTTTGGTGGTTGCGTAACTGCACATTCCAAAAACACTTGCACGCGATCAGTCATTTTAATATCATAATTGCAATTGCAAAGAAGGTTCAACCTTGCTTTATGAAACTGAACTGGGATCATCTTAAATGTATATGGATTTTGCATACCTGTCTAAGCCGCCCTTTCACATTTTTCACCTCACCGACTTTAGTGAACGCTCCCCTCATTTTCATGCCATCTTGTTCCTTCAGTTTACCACCCGAATCTTCGAGTTTGTTGACAGTGACATCAGCATTGCGGTCTGCATTTGTAGGCACAGCTACCAGTATCAAAAGTGCACAATTTAAAAGGTGCATATTTTTCACATTAGAAGTAGAACTCCTAAATATAGCCAGGTTGGTTAAAATTACCAACCCGACGTCCACCATGTTTATTTACACTGCCCTTTCCTTCCTCTAAATATCAAAGATTCAATGCCAAATGGCAGGTGCACTTACTACCAGCTGCTCTGATACAATGTACTAATTACATCATTACAGACTGATGGCAAATAGCTAATTGTTCAGTTTAGGCGATAATAGGCGATAATCGGATTAAGTTTACTTAGGTGTGCAACAAAAGTTATGCAATATTTTTCAACGATAAATGAAATAGTGGTGATATTGCAAGGGAATTCTTGAATCAACGTCTAATAATTTTGCAATAGTAGGTGGTTTAATCTAAATGTGCTACAGCCACGTTGTATGAGTGACGGTTGTTCTGAAAATAGCTGGTGCTATATGTATTTATAACGGGTATACCTACAAACATGTTGCTCAATGTACGCCTTACAAGGGGATAAAATTTTTTGCATTTTTGCATATTACCTTCAAAGCATACGCCCGCATGCGGTAGATCTACTGTACAACCACACAGTGCGTGCTTTACATTAGGTAGAGTTCCATACAGATCATACGCGACACTTTGATAGAGGCTACGTATACGATAGGTGGTGTATGATGTTCTGCTTTATGTACGTGTATGATTCACTAGTACTGTTTGCCTCGGAGCACTACGAACACTAATGAGGATGGCCCAAGCTTTTGTTTTCATACAATCATAGGCACGAACCATAGGCACGAAATTTTATGGCAACTGCGGTAATTCACTCATTCTAACAAAGTTACTGTAACATTTGAAACAATTTTATTGCAAATATATCTATTTCACACAAGCAAAAACATAACAAGACGTGAGTTACTGGCAACAAATATCAACGACATCCAGCCTCCTCAATTCAAAGTTAACACTAATTTGGAATGGAATGTTGCATTGCTTTCAGTAAGTTTTCCCAGACATAATAATAAAAAATCAACTTAATAAGCGTGGAATGATTATCAGCGCTACTGTGTAAAAATTAAAAGAAATAAAATATCATTATGGCACTCTGAATAACCGTGAAGCCATTAGAGATGTGAAGGTAAAAAAAGTGTTGCGCGCGATTGTCCATCCGCATCAAATCAGTAGGTAAACCCTCTACCTACATGTAAGTCCTTGATCATCTTTTGTCGAAAAAAAGTCGAATAAACGAAAGTAGTAAATTTTCATCCCCAGTCCACTTCTGAAAATCGTTGGTTCGATATTAAATTTCGTTGTCATCTATTTTGTACTTCCTTCGTCTTTTCAATTAATCACCCATTTGCGGATCAACTAACGTGCGTTCACCATTTTGGTGTGGGCGTAGATCTCCTGCTGGAGCCGGGCCGGTAGCGGTGGCACTCACAGTCACGGTAGCGGAATATTTTAAAACAGTGGTCTCCGTTGGTGCTGTACTCGGTGACAACTAAATGTCCCTCCGGGCCGATGGCGCACGTCTGAACAGACCCTGTTAAATCCGGTGGCCCCACAATTTGGAGAAGTAATTGGCCTCTTTCAGAATACACATTTACGGTGTGGTTCAACCTGTCTGCAATAAGAATCTGCCCGAGCGGGTTCAGACAAACTCCAGCTGGAACAGCCGCAAGCCCGTCGCCGTTAGCTTCTGTGCGGAACTGGTAGAGGAGATCTCCAGCGTAGCTGTATGTCCTTACGCGACAATTGACCGAGTCGCACAGAACCACCTCGTTTTTATTATTTACGGCTACGTGAATGGGGGAGCCCGACATGGATGTTTTAGGCGGTTTCCCACCAACTTCGAATCTACTCAAGAGCTTGCCACCACGCCTGTACACTTCAACAGTTCTGGAGGCAGTGCCGACCACGGTGTTATAATATATATCACAGGCAACGCTATATGGTTCATCCACAGTTGGAAATGAATACTTAAATCGACCTTCGAGTGTCAATACCTGAATTCGCTTGTTCTTTTTATCGGCGACAGCGATGGTTTGGTTGGGGAATACGGACACTCCCGTTGGCTCGTTAAATTGACCTTCTCCGCTGCCCAGACTGCGAAAAGAAGATTTAAACACACCAAAGTTGTTGAAGATCTGTATGCGGTGATTCATGGTGTCGGCAATGACGATGTCGCGATCGTCCGTGATAGTCAGGCCTCGTGGGTAACTGAATTCTCCCTTACCACGCCCTCTAACACCGACATTGAATAGCAGTTTCTGCGGCCTGAAAAAATGTAAATATAAAAAATGATTAAAAAACCTCGTAAAATATTCTTACGCTAATTTTCCCTATATTAATTAAAACATCTAATGTGGGATAAGAGCTGATCATAATCAAGTATCCCAACATCAAGATACGAGACTCCATGGAAATTTAGGTGACTACAATTATAAACAATATTCGAATAAAACTCATGAAATCTACTGACATTATCTAGATAACGTTATTAAATTGAATTAAACAAACAAGTCAACAAAAACAAAGCTGAGGTCTCAGGATTCTTGAAGTTAGTTATTAATTCTTTCAAAGTCGGACAAAATTAGTTGTAGCATCATCGAAGCATTGACAAGAAATCATATCCCATACTCATATTCAAAACATAAGAATTATATATGCACTAACTACTAAAATAACCACTAATCAGTACCTACTGCCTAAACTACAATAGCTCTGGAAATATAAAGGCAAAGTCTGGAAGAGAATTCGAAGTAGATACATGTAGATAAAGGTTGGAGAGGGGTGATGTCCGTTGCATCCAAGAAACAAGACGACCGTCACTTTTTACAAAAGAAACTAATCTAACTGGTCTTACAACGTTTGTAAACACATCTTTTGCTTTTCTCTTTGATCAAAAAGCATACAGATGGTGGTTCACAAACAAAGTAAGAAAGAAATCCAACAAGTGTGTTGCAAAATTGATTTTAGTTAAATGTGACAGAAATCCGAGGTCATATTACCAACTTTTGACAAAATTCACCATTTAACAAAAAAGACAGGAATAAAATGGCTACATTTTCTGTTGTTAGATAAACCAGAATTTGGCAACACACTTTTCACCCATTCTACTAATTTTTACCTCCACGAGTACGGGCGAAAAAACCTGAAATTATAATCGTTATTGTTTTGTGAAATCAATGTGCAGTGCGTATGGTGTTCTGTTTTTTCATGCAAGGATACTTGTCATAAGTATTCTTACTTCATTCATATGCGTGCAACTCAAAGCAAATAACCAAGCATTGCTATAAAAAGCAGTGACATGTTGTACATTAAAATATGAAATAAAAATCGGTCATATTACAATGAATCAAGTTGTGATAAATGCGTTAGATGTGCCATGCTTGTGCTGTTAACGTGCAGAAAACACTGTGACCTGTTTGTCTTGAAGGTATGCTCAATAAAATTATTTGTTACATATATTAATGCATTGTTTTTTTTATGGTTGGTTATATTGGCCCACCAATCATAATTTAACAGATCAAACGACATGCCCTAGAGATATGCACATATCTGGTTCATATCCTAAAGGTAGGTGCAGATATTTAATAGTCTGTGAAATATGCATTTTGAAATTCTAGTCGATGAAAGATACTGACTTTTTCATGCCTTCCTCTTCTTTCTCTTTAGCATTCAGTTCCCTCTGGCTGCGGGCAGTGTCGCTCAGACCGCGTGTTAACAGGTACGCCTCCCACAGCTTTGAGTCTGTGTACGCCTTTACCACGGGCTCCCGGCAATCGTGAACTGAAACAATTAAATGAGATAGAACCCTCTTTATTTCTCCTCCTCTCTTCCTCTCTATTTAAAGAACTATGTAATATAGTTAGTTCGTTCTCCCTCTCTCCTCTGCGTGTGTGTGTGTGTGTGTGTGAGAGAGAGAGAGAGAGAGAGAGAGAGAGAGAGAGAGAGAGAGAG